ACGTCACTGATTACTCATCCACAGCATAAATTTCATAAAATATGATAAAGATAAATTTTTATTTCAAAAAAAATGCAAAATTAAATTGATTTTAATATTTAGAAGCCATAAATAATATTTAAGACGGAATTTATGCATAAAACACGCATTATTTTTTAATCAGGGAACAAAGTATAATGTAACATTCCTTTATTTTGTAACCAGAGTTATGTTTGGGATCTTAACTATCAATTTTCCCATCTGTTTTCCCACCAGAATCCAAATGAAGTTTTCAGTTTGTAAAACAAACCGTGTTTTGCCTTTCGAGGCCACGTTAATAGGTTGCTAGATAAGATTTGTAGTCTTGAGTCTTGACTACAAATCTTATCTAGCAACCTAGTAACATGGTAAAATAATTGCTCATAGTTGAATTGCATGTCAGTTAAATTTTGAAACAACTTTGCATTAATTTGATTTGTGTAGCCTTTGGCTACAAGTTTATTTGAATTTAAATTTTACTTTGAACTTAATTGTTATCATAAGTTATCTTGCCACAAGTAGTTGACTGAGTCGTAAGCACAAAATGTGCCTCTTTTCTGTACATCTAAATAGACTATATCTTAATAAGAATAGGATATATAATAACATATTATAATAGAATAAGAGTATATCTTAATAAGAATATAGTATCTAAACTTTATAATAATTACATTTAAAGACATTAGTTTAGATACACAATATGATTGCAAAGAATATATCTCAACTTTATAAAATCATTTAAAGACGTTGAAATATATTAAAGTGCTTGCCATGTATTTCAAATTTTTTATATATAAATTTTACTCTTACTTTTATTATAGAGTTTTTATTACAAAAAATTCAGATTTCTGTTAGATTAAAATTTCAAAGTAATGTAGAAAATTTGCATAAAATTTTTTTAAAATAAAAAAGTCGACAGTTATGATTAAAAACATGGTCGACTATTAATAAAAGTAATGATATACTCTGTGAAGGTTATTCATATGCAGCTATTAGATTGTGAGATTTACAAAATTTCACAGCAATGGTAAATTATAAGCAGTATTTATTTCCATAATCTAAGCAACATTATATTTTTTATAGTCAGACAAATTATAAAAATGCTTGTAAAAACCATAATGAAAACCTGATTTTGGCTCTATGAATTCAGACAATTTGATATCCCTATAGTTCAAATTTAAGAAATGAAGCAGAAAAAGTATTTTTAGACCAAGGTAATTTTGATTTTGGCCCATTTTAAGAAACAAGTAAGAAGTCTAAATTTGCATGTGGTTCCTTACCACAGAAAACACCAAGAGTTTGCCTCATTTTGCTAAAAATCTGTTTTTTTTGGGGGGGGGGAGTTTATAATATGCAGAGTTGACATTTAGAAAAGTATCAAGAATCATTAAAAGCATAAGTCTTGACTATCAAATTTTGGCTTTTTTAAAAATGATGTTGAAAAGTTTTTTTTTATATTGTTCTTTCCAAAGACAAAAGTAACTTTAATAATAAACTTGCAATTTATCCCTCTTGCCATCAAAGCTTTGATACATATCAAATTCATTAAAGTTACGTGGACAGAGATGGCGGCATGTGTTATAACTCAGTATTTAGGGTTACCATAAATAACAAGGTTATCATAATCTTTCATTTATCGCGCCCAAATGTCGCCAAAAAAATTTCTCGCCAAAGAGGACTAATATTAAAGCTGTGCCCAATATTTTATTATTTTGTTTGCTTCTATCTCTTGAAATTAATCTTTTCTTCTTGTTTATAATTTTGCATTTTTCTTCTAATCTATGACTATTTTTCTAATCTACAACTATTTTTACATAGTGTTTTCAAACACTATGTAAAAATAGTTGACGTGCAACTGGACAATTTCTAGTTATTTTTCTTTAAAAATACCTTTCTATATTAACTGTGGCTTTTGTTTTCAGAGTAATTGCTCCTCTGCTACTTGATTTTTGCCTTTTTTATATATTTGTGCTACATTTTGCCTTTGCGACCTTTTCTTATACATCTGGATCTGACACTTTAGATTTTCATTATACTGCCGCAATTTCAAATTACCTTTAGTTAGTTAGCTTCGATTTCTGCAAACACTGCTGCATCCTTTGCTTTTATTCCTGGAAAATGTAGTATTTTCATTTGAAGAATTAGCTCCAGTCTGTTCATTTTCAAACAACTCCACTTCAAAATGAACTTTTTGCAAATGTCATTCAGCTGCTGATCAGGCCAATACTTTCTGTGATATGTCTGACTAATGAGTCACTGAATTTGATTTGAGACTAATTTTTTCCCCCTGTAGAATAAAAAGAAATTCTTTAATAATTGGTATATAAAATAAATAGGAATTTATCAGCATCATGAAGATATTTTATCCATACTTTTTCATAAGTGATTACAAATACCATTGATTAAATACTATGATTAAAAATAATTTACCTTCCTTTATCTTTGCTTTTGGCATGTTTATATTTTTCTGGATGTGTTAGCTTTTCTATATGGTGCCTTTGCTTTCTTGCAGGTGTTAGAGGCATCCCAGATGCTAAAATAACATTTATTAACCATAGTTAGAAAATAATGTCAAACCTTCTTTTGAAACACAGAGATTAAGTTACATAAAACTTGAAAGGAACAGGCATTTTTGCCTATAATCCCATTTTCTTAGATTTATATCTTAAAAATTTGAATTTATTTTTTAATATTTCAAATTGTAGAAATACATCTTTATGCAATACATTGCTCAAATGAAGCTTTAAATACCAATTTATGATTGAATTTATTCTCTTTTCTTTTGGGACAACATATAAGCATTATTTGAGATTGGGCATCTTTATAATATGATATGTGTTCATTTTAGGGCATAACTAATGGACTTCTGTGGCGTGAAGAAACTGATTTGAAACGAGCATTATATGCATCTTTGCAAGAAACACGAAGAAGGAATTTAGAAGACGAGGAAGATGACCCCGAAGAAGAGGAAAAAATAGTTCCTAATGTTCAGGCTGCTGAAAATGGAGAAGAAAGTCCCAAAAAGTTAGTTGAACTGAATATTCAAATTTCATATTTATGTCTAAGTATTAATTAGAAGCTATTTTTATGTAATTTTTTATGTATAATATTTTTAACAAATTTGATAACAGCTGCAAGATTTTGTTTTATCATCATTCTGGCAAGTATTGTAAACATTTTAATAATTATATGCATTCATTCCTTTATATATATTACTTGCAAAGTATGAAACATCAGCATTGTATATAATATTGGTCGTTTTTAAGCAAAGTATTAGAATTATTACATACTTTCCCTAGGCATTGTACATAATACTTCGGCATCTATAGAATGACAAATGCTATTGAGGCAAAATATGAAAAAAGTCCTGATAAGGCTATTATATAAATGATGTGCATTTCTCAAAAATACAAATGTTATTCTGAAAAAATAATGAGAATGCCATTAAAAACATTTATTTAAAATACATGAAGAAAAATGAAAGTTGTACAAAACAAATGCCTTTATTAAGGGGAACAAAATTTTCATATAAAAAATAATAATAAATGAAAATTAACCTATTTGTTGCAACATGGTAGGCTTGAATTACTTTTCATTATATTTTTTATGCAAAGATATTTTATATTTTTCACTCTGCTTTGTGCATACATTTGACGAATCCTTGGCCGCTTTCACTGGACTAAGCAATTGCAACTGACCGGAGAGGAATTTTGCGGTCAGGAGTATCTCCAATTCTAAGCAGGTTTCTGTGAATTCCCACATACAGTCAATCCTTCGGCGATTCCGGATTATAGATCATCAGTTTAAATTTGGTAAAATGCCATGCAGAAATTATAGAATTAAAAATATGAAACCGTAATTTACGAAATAAAGAACAATTATGATCTAAAGTGTATCAAAATTTACAAAAAAAAAAAGCTTAATATTTATTTGTTTACTTTACTAAACATTTCTTTCAATGTAAGTTGTTCAATTTGCTTCGTTTTTTATGTGATAACACATTCTCTTTAATTTTATAAACAGACATAATTTCTTGTTCAGTTACAAAGTTCCGCTGTTCAAGTCCTATAATTACTGTGTCGAGAATACTGACTAATTTCTCAATCGAAATTTAATTCGTTTTCAATAACCTCTGTCACTTTCTTTGCTATCGGAAGCGAATTATAATGACGAGGCATTTGATTTAAATCATATCAAAACGGAGTACATCGAAATGAAATACTACATTTAGTAAGCAATTATAAGCCAAATAAAATAAAAACATCTGCCCTGAAGATAAGGATAATGCTGACAGATCAACTTCCAATTAATTGCGCGCACCCTGGCGTTAAAGATAAACAAATTTTAGATAAACAAAGAATATGCCTTTATTCGTTTTTTGCAGCAATTCCACTTTTTTGTTTAATGGACTCCGAAACATTCTTTCGCTTTGTAGATCTGTTACATATTAGTAAATATAAATCGGAAATTCTATTTGACATAATCGAAAGTTCAAGCTTACTTTTATAAAATTGCTCTAACAGTCTGCAATAAATAATAAGCCGGATCCAATTCGAAGATTAAGGAACAACGCAATCTGCAACATTAACTGAAATAGATAATTAGAGCTTAGCTTATACCGTCCGTTATACATGAAAAGCGCATTCGTAAATGTATTTTGTGCACGCGCACACGCAAATTCGCAGCAGTAAAGGTCAACGCGATGCATGTGCAGAAAGTTTGTAGCTTTGAGGTCCGGATTATAGATCATTCCGGATTATGGGTGTCCGAATTAACGACTTTTGACTGTACTTGTTTTACAATTTTGGTACTTTTCCATTTTGCCGGCGCAGACGATAAAATCACTAATAATGGTACAGCCGATGCCAAGCGGAATATCCTCGCTGGTAACCTTTTACTCCTCATTTTCAAAACAAGCTGCAGCCATTTCTTATCAGATTGATTGTTTCTTTCAATACTGGCACACAATTACATGGAATTTTTACCAGATAGTTCAATTTTATGCCCTAAGGCCATTCGCATGTTACAATTAAGTCAATTAGGATGCAATCACACCGCTCACCCGATGGCGCAAATATAGAAAAGGCAAAGTCAAGCGTTAAGTTCATCAATTCTAATGAGAATGCAGTAGCGAAGTAAAGCACTGCGGTTTTCCATAATTTCTGAGTAAGCTATTCGTACAATGTGAAATAATTCTTGTATTTAAACTTGCATTCTAAATTAAGATTTAACTTGAAATTAATGTAGATAATTACTGAGAGAAGTAGATTTTTGTAGTGTAGTGTACGTGAAATGAGATCACTTGGGGTCACGTGATATGAACCGGCGAACCAGGATCTTGTACCGTGAAAGCATAGTAAATTCTTAAATTAATGTCTTTTTACAAATTTTTTGCCTTTAGTTATTGGCTTTTTTACAAAATTTGAAACAACATTAAAATGTTTATACCTTCAAAAAAAATTCTTAGAACTAACATTTTTTACGTGTATATTGTATGTTGTCACCAATATAAAGTCTGCTTGGCGAGATTTGCATCGGCGAAATGGAAAAGGACCAAAATTCCTTGAAAAGTTCCAAGACTGCAGAAAACATCCTCTGTCACACTTATTACAACTGCAATTATATTGTGTGACACCTTGCCCCTTTTCGACGTCAGGAATAGGAACTCGCACAGTAGTTCCCAAAGAAGGAGTGGGAAATCTATTTTCTGAATTCATTAAAATTTTTTTAGCATTTTCAGTTTTGAAACAAAGGGTGCACAAAATATCTATTGCATCATCTTTACTACCATGGCCACAGAAGGTATGAATTTATTTAATGACACTTTTTGCATGCAAGTGCATCACTTGATTCCTTTAAACACACACAGAAGGTATCAAAAACAGAAATCTCTTCGGTAAGCATGTCTTCATCATGTTGTTTAATTCACTATCGACTATAATCTCATCCATGTTCTTTTAAACTGGCTCTTTTTCTTGCATAATCTGATTAGTTTCACCTTTTTCTATTGTTTGGATGCTTGCTATTACTTTTTCTAGCTTCTCCTGTATACGAATCTGAGAATTATATATTATAATTATATTCTTATATTTATATACGAATCGGAGATGTATTTCATACTTTGCCGATTTCTCATTTGGCATTCTGTAGAATGCCTAGGAAATGTCTGAAATATAAATTGTTTCATGCAAAACCATCTAGTTTTAGGCATTCTATAGATTGCCGGATTTCAAACTTTGTCAGTAACCATATATATTAAATTGAATGTTAAATGTGGGACTGTAACTAGTACCATAAAAGAATTTTTTTCAGAAAGAAGAATGATAGCAAAATTATGCTTCATGAAAATGTAAACCAGAATTTGTCAAATATTTTGTTTTTCCCCCCACCCTCAGTGCAGCTGAGAAGCAAATATTATGATCTCTCAATTGATCAATTCATTACAAAGTATTTTGCATATCAATTCATCTATGAATTCATCTAAAAATAACGAATAATTAGTCTTGAGGGTGGAATTATACTTAATTGGGATATTTTACCTAAAAATAAGCTTGAGTATAAGTTAGCTCTACCATGTTTTACCATGTTCGATTAAACATAAACAAATAGTAACATATTTCGACTTAGTTTTTTTAATGATAAAATGTTTAAAACAGAATCTGATTTGTTGGTTGGTATTTTATTTTTTTTTTAACTAAAATAGATGATTCTACAAAGAAGGAAATGTTATCAAACTTAAAGATCAGACAGATGTAAGATGTAGAAATGTAAGTTAAGAGTTATAAAGTTTGTAGAATTGCTGTATATATAAATACAGTCAAAAGTCGTTAATCCGGACTCGTCAGGACTTCGGCGTTTCCAGATTATCGATTTTTCCGGATTATAGATCATCAGTTTAAATCTGGTAAGATGGCATGCAGAAATTACAAAATTAAAAATATTAAACCATAATTTATGAAATAAAGAACAATTATGATCTAAAAGGTATCAAAATTTACAAAAAGAAAAAAAGCCTAATATTTGTTTGTTTACTTTATTAAACATTTCTTTCAATGTAAGTTGTTTAAGTTGCTTCATTTCATGTGACAATACTTTGTCTTTAATTCTATTAAACAAACATAATTTCTTGTTTAGTTACAAAGTTCCGCTGTTCAAGTCCTATAATTGCTGTGCCGAGAATACCGACTAATTTGTCAATCGAAATGTTTTCGTTTTCAATAACCTCTCTGTCACTTTCTTCACTATCGGAAGCGAATTATAATGACGAGGAACTTGATTTAAATCATATCAAAGACGGAGTACATCGAGATGAAATACTACATTTAGTAAGGAAATATAAGCCAAATAAAATAAAAACATCTGCCCTGAAGATAAGGATAGTGCTGACAGATCAACTTCCAATTCATTGCGTGCCACGGCGTTTCTCCCCCCCCCCTTGCCACAGAGCAGCGTGAAATTGATAAACAGATTTCGGATTTCAAAACATACTCTCGCTTTGTAGATCCTTTACTATATGTAGATCCTTTAATATATATCGGAAATTCTATTTGACATAATCGAAAGTTCAAGCTTACTTTTATAAAATTGCTCTAACAGTCTGCAAAAAATAATAAGCCGGATCCAATTCGAAGATTAAGGAACAACGCAATCTGCAACATTAACTGAATTAGATAATTTTAGCTTAGCTTATACCGTCCGTTATACATTAAACGCGCATGCGTAAACGTATTATGCGCTTGCGCACACGCAAATTCGCAGCCGTAAAGGTCTTACGCGCACGCGTAAACACCTATGCGCATGCGTCAACGCGACGCCTGCGCAGAAAGTTTGTAGCTTTGAGGTCCGGATTATAGATCATTCCTGATTATGGGTGTCCAAATTAACGACTTTTGACTGTATCATAATATCAATTGGTGTTTATAATTTTTGTTTAATGAATTATGGCAAAGCATTTAAATATCTGCCTAAGAGAAGGAATGCCTTTGTAGAAAATTGGCTTCTGTCAGCATTACACATGGACTCCTATGAGAAAAACATGAAAATAGCCATGACCCATGTAGCCTTCGTGGAAAATTTGCTTGTGTTACATGAACAGTGAGTTTGCAGTATTTGCTGTACATATACAGAGAGTGTTTACACATTTTAATAACAATTTTAATTTTCTCCATGAATTGAAATATTAATTTTAAAATGCAAATCTGACTGGCATCCAATTGGAATAAGGTTTAATTATAGTCTGCAGCATTAAAAATATTCTGTTCTTTAAAATGTCACCAAAAGTAAACAATGGATCGAAGGCTGCATTTTTGCACTGTCTGAGAAGAAGTACTCTTATTCAATTATTCAAAAAAATGTAAAAAGCATGGTTTTAATATTTCTACATGTAAAATAAGTGACATAATTAATATGAAAGGAAAGAAATTTCAAAGTTTACATCTGGCTGGGGAGAAAGCAAAAAATGCATACCCAACAAAGGCACATTTAGTTCTCATTAAATATAAAGTCGCATCTCATGTTTTAAAGAAAAACCCAATGCCCCAAAGACTTATTGCAAAATCTTTGAATATCTCTGTAAGAATGTGAACAAAATTGTAAAATCTGATTTAAAGTTAATCAAGAAAAAAAATTATGTTCATCGCCTAATGCCGAAATAGTGCAAGACTGTGTGCAGATCGCAGTATAAAAATTATTTGGCAGGTGAAAAATAGAAATATATAGTTACAGTTAATGAGGCTTGGATATATTATCTGATTGCAAGAGAAAGACATTGATTTACTACCAAAAAAGAGAAGGAGAAGAACTTAATATGTCGATTCAGAGACAAAAAGTAAAGGTTTTATGGTTATTACTGGATTCTCTTATAACGGAAAACTTAAAATAAGGAAAATAGAAAAAAATGTCAAAATCAATTCTGATTGCATCGGAAATATGTTTTAACACCTATTTTTAAAGAAGAAATTTCATCTCTATCAAAGCAATCTCCACTGTGTTAAGTTCCATCAGGATAAGTTTCCAATCCATACCTCAAAATCCTGCTCTATTTTTTTGAAAAAATGAAACTGGAATTGAAGCTATTCCCTTTCAATGCATCCCACCCAAGTCCCCCTGATGTGTCTCCTATGGATTACTTTGCCTGTGGACTTTTAAAAGAAGCTCTTTATAAGCGGCATCTCAAAACATTGGATGGACTCTGGAAGATTGTGAAGGAGAAGTGGAATAAAATCAACCTTGATGTTTTAAGAAAAGGACTTTTATCTTGGAAATCAAGATGTAAGATGATAGTTCAACAAAGGGGCTATCAGATTGAACATATTAGAAAATGAAATTCTAATGTTTGTTTATATAAAAATGTTTGCAAAATCTTTACAAAAATGTGTGAACACCCTCTGTATTTATGCAGAAATAATGCAATTGCTTTTACTGTGTGAGCAACAGACTGGAAAATAAATATCATCCTGTTTTATTGATGTAATATGGTGTCTAATTTCTTTAAAATTTCAAATATTTTATGAGTTAGTTTATTATCAAAACAGAACAGCAATCTTCAAATAATGTAGTGCAAAGCATACTGATTTAGCTCTTCGGTGCATGTTTTTGTACGTATTTGTTTGTAAATGTATATTTTTTACGTATTCGCAGATATATTATATATAGAAATATCTTTATTTATTTATTTAGATATTTGACATTATTGTAATTAAATTGTGAATACAAGGTTGTTATTATTTTTTTAATTTTGATTTATTGTTATGATTATATAGTCTGAGATTCTTCTTTTCTTTCTTTCAGAGCAAAAGTTCATGCTCAGCGTAAATTTGCTCAGGGTTCTACTCCAAATAGTCCTGTTCCAACCCCTTTAAAAGTCCCTTATGTAAATTCTTCAACAACAGAACTTCTGCCATACAGGAGACCTAAAACTGAAGACTTCTTAACATTTCTATGTTTAAGGGGTTAGAATTATATTGTCATATCCTAGTGTTTTTCATGTTATTGAGAAAATGTTATTATCTATAACATTTTCTCAATATTTTTTTAGTGTGTGTTGAGAAAAACTGGGATGAAAATGTGCTTTAGGGGAAAGTTACCGGTAAATTTGCACATGTCCGTGTCTTACATGGGCAGTCTTGTATCTTGCGTTATTTTATTTTTAATGACCGTCTGAGATTCGTTCTAGTAAAAATGGGTAGGCTAGATTATAAATAAAATTATTTACCATAGATGGCATCACTATGCAGCATTTTTCTTGCATAAACCACATGGTGCATTTTAATAGCTATAAGTTTATTAGGAATTCTTTGTTATAAAGCAGTTGTTTGGTGTGGAAAAGGTAGTATATCTATTTTTACTGCATTAATTATCATAAAAATAAACAGTTAACCATAAATTAATTTTTAATCATGTTTTTGTAACTTGCTTAGGAAAATTTATCAGATAGTGAGCGACTCTGACCAATCAAATTAGTACAACTCATATAATTATTAGTATAAATTAAAAAATAACTTGCACTATAACTATACATTCATTTTATGTTAAAAAAATTATCATTTTATACCAGTTTTTCCAGGAAAAAAAACTTGTGCTTTAAGGGGTTAACCGACGCCCTTGTTGTTACTTTAAGGAATATAACATATGTAGGTGTATACATATACGAACGAGCCTTAGCGGTAATGGTAGGTATGGTTAAAGCACATTTTCATTGAAATAATTTGAATTATTAACAAATATTATAATGAGAAATTGTTCTTTATCAATATGCAGTGTTCTCCATTAGTTGAAGTTGTAAGTTAAATATACTTTTTATATCCGTTAAAAGAATATTTAAAAGAGATAACCTATTTTAGTTTCAGATATCCTATTTTTAGTTAATTTAAATTAATGCTAAGTAAAATGTTAATTAAAAGTTTAACACATTGACTGCCAGTCTCTAGAGATGGGGTTGATAGTTATTGCCTTGACATCGAAGTAGATTGTACCCAGAAGCCAACATACTAATTATTGGAAATATGATTTAAAATTATTAATGAAATATGATTATTTTTATATCTAAGTATTATTTAAGCATTTCCATATGGAATTTCTTAACTACGTGCCAGTGCGTGATTGGCACTGCACAACAATTTTTTTCCCAAATGCCACATACGCGCTGGCGCGTGATTTGCAAAAAGTGAATCAAAATAAGTAAAATAAGTGACAGTATGCATTATTTTTATATAAATCTCTATTACAAACATATATATTACAAATGAATTTATTACATAATAATTATAATGGTATTATTAATAAACTTACATTTTAGAGTGTTATTTGTGTGTAATCTTAGAACAATCTAGGCAGTATCCGGGAGATCCTTTGCAAACTTTGCACACATATATGGTATCTTTTCGTTTTCCTTCCGAATAACAGCTTTTACACTGCTTTCGCAGTATTTTTCCACCTTTTTTCTCTTCCCGTGTTTTTAGTACATGCTCCAATTCAGATGGATGACACACAGAAGCACGATGACCAGATGGCTGTTTCAATAAGCATCTTATCACGGATAGACGATAGTCATAAAGTGACATATTTCTATTGGAATACTTGTTGTAGATAAAGTGGGAGTTGGACATCATTATTTGCAAAATATGCACAAAAATTTTCGTGGGCCACCTAATCGTTTTTCTTTCACAAGGATAATAAGCAAGCATCTGGTCTTGCTTATCAATACCTGCCATAAATTTATTATACTGAATTACAGGTAGTGGTTTTGTTTTAACTTCACCTCTTTTTGTTTGTTTTTCCACCATATCATTTTTATGTTCATTGGAAATATAAGTGACGTCTCTCTTATCCTTCCACTTAGCAATCATCACACCATTAGTATATTTTTGCTACAGTTTGCCCTTTCTTCAGTTTTTTTTCTTTTACCTCTTTCGGAAATGTCTTTCTGTTGTTTCTAATTGTCCCAGTACAATGAGTTTTTCTATCAGAAAGACATTTTGCCAGTTCATAGCTGTTATAATAATTGTCCATAAATACGCTATGCCCTACATCCAACATTCCCTCAAGTAAATTCATTACGACTTTCTGTGCATGTCCTTTTCCACCAGAATCATCCAACATACCTGTATATACCATAAATTTGAGAACCATACCATCAGGGGTTGTGATCATGTACAGCTTGATACCATATTTGTGACGTTTATTTGGTATATACTGTCTAAATATAAGTCGTCCACGCCATAATACCATCGACTCATCTAAACTAATCTCTCGTCCTGGGTAATATATTTCAGATACTCGTGCGTTGAACAAATTTACCATACTTCTTATTTTATATAATCGATCCTTTGGAATTTCTGTATTCTGCTCTGGAATTTTTGCGAAGTGCAATGCCCTCAGTAATAATAAAAACCGATTCCTGCTCATGTTTTCAGAAAAAACATGTAAACCAAACAGTGAATCGGTTTTCCAATAATCTTGTATGCGGTTGATTCGTATAGTTCCCATATGTAAGATCAATCCCACAAATGTCAAAAGTTTCTTTTTGTAGTGTCTTTCCAGGCATTGATTCGTGAATGTTTCTTTTTTTCATTACGAAAGAAAAAGTACTTTATGAGCATAATCATTAGTTTCAGCAACTACTTCCTCCAAGATACCGATCGGTGAAAAAATGCTGAAAGATAATCCGTATAGAATTGTTACCTGAAACAGGTTGGAGCAAACACTCGGATTTTATGAAAGGAAAACTGCTTCATGGATGTTGAATCGTTTTCCCAAAGTTAAATTTTCCATTATAGCAGAATTATCGCGCTGACATGTTGCACTTCTTGAACGATTTGTTCATTCATCTATCATCTTCAGAATCCGAAATATCATGGGCATCAGTCGGAGGAATGAATTCTTCGTCACTGTCACTGTCGTAGCAGTCGTAACTATAATCACTCGGGTACTCGTCCGATAGCTCAGCCAACCAAATTTGCAATTTCATCATCCGTTAAATTCTTTATTATTTGAACTTTTCTTTTTTTGGGGACGCGAAGGCCCCTGCACAATTATCATCTGTATAACTCATATCACAAGATTATTTTTTCAATCAAAAATTAAATATTAAATTCGAAACCACGATTATTTACAGATAGTTTCTAATCATAACTACATGCCAATACCAGCAGAAATACCATGAAAGCAATGCCAAATGAACTAGAGAATGAATAATCAGAAGTGGATTTTCCCGCGCCAGCGCCTGACTGGCTACTGAGATATCACCCCACATCACGCGCTGGCGTGTGATTGGCTTTTCGGCGATAGCGCCACGCCACGCGCAAGCGAGTGATAAGCAGTCAATGTGTTAAAGTGATTATCATATTCCTGTTTTATCATCATACTTGTATTACACAGATTGGTTAAAGTAGAACAAGGTGTGTTTTAAATAAGTTCCTTCAGCAGGAAAATATTCAAAAGCTAAATGGGTTTTTATTTAGGTTCTTTCCATATCTTTATTTCATTTTCTGTCCTGTATAAGATAATTCTTCAAAAGATACTGACATAAATCTGACAGATTTTATATATTCTCATTTGAAATATTGAAAGAAGCCTAAAATAAAAAATAATTAAAGCTTGAATTAAATATAGTTTAAAAAAATTAGGAAACCTTCCAATAGAAAAACTACCAATGGCATGTCTAAAAAATAATGATAACTTACATAAAATTTCATGAAGTAACAATTAATTTATAGCTGTAAATATATCCCACTCGTGCTTGGGAAAATTTGTAGCCATAGTTACTTCCCCTTAAGGAAAATGGAAGAAAGAAATACGATTATCACACCATAAAAGTTCTATTCATGATGCTCTCTTCTTAAGAGTATAATGAATTGTCAGCTTTCTTGGAAGAAGATTAAAATGGAAGTAATTCAAGATATGCAATTTATCTTATGTTAAATTTACATTAAAATTCCCTGTGGCCCTTCATGTGCATAATTCTGATTATGCATGACTTCTGTGATATTCTGTTAGAGAGTAGTAATTTTTACTTCCTTGTACAAAGTAAAAGAAGTATTGCGATCACAAAAAATTCCGAGTACCAAATTTTAATGAAAATGTCCATTTTTACTGCTATATGCAATTTAACAATGTTTTTGCCTGGCATCTATATGTAAGGACAGAATAAAGGACTCTTTTCCCCCAAATGAATTATAAAACTGATTTTAAATGGATTCAAAAGAAAGTTTTTTTCGTGGCATCTGTATGTAGGTATGTATCTTGCATAACTCAAAACTGAGTTGCCCCAGACAGTTGAAATTTTGTATATAGGACTGCTATAATATGTAGTTTTGAATCTCCCTTTTGGGTTGCAATCAGCTGCACTGAAGGTATATAAATATAGATACCCGCTCTGTTACTCGGCTCAGTGAGCTGTTTGTTTTGTTGTTATATGTTTCAATATTGTGCATTTTTTTCTTTAAAAGTGATTGAATTATATTGTTCTTATGTTTCAGTTAAGGCTTTCATGCCTTTAGTTAATCTGCATGCAGTAGTTGTAGAATTAGCAACAATTTAAAAGTTGTTTAAGTGTGGCTAAGCCTAATTGTTTTCACCATAGCAGCCATATTTGTTTACATTTGCTTGGCCGCCGAATTGCTTGTTTTTGTGTAGAAACTCTAATTTTAATTGTTTTAACTGTATTTTGTGTTTTATATTTTTCTATATCTTTCAATTTATAATGAAAATGTTTTGAGTTTTTATGTAATTTTGCCTTGCCGGGAAGTGAGAACTGAATTAATTAAATGAGAAATATATCTCTAATGAAATTCAATGAAATAAGTTTAAATGAAATGCAGGGGGAAATGGTACATAATTTAATATTTTGTATAAGGAAGTCATAGTTTTTTTTCCATTAATTTTAATGCATGTAGTGTGTGTTTCGAGATGGATCGCCCAGAGCTTCGTGCTTAGATTGTAATAACTAATATTGTTTAATCATTGTTCCTTACTTGTATAACATCTGTTTAAGTTTTGTGAAAAGTGTAAATTTCATTATTCCAATAAGAGTCTAAATTAAGGCATTTAGTTAAATTTGAATTGGGGGCACACCTCATAGATTAGCCATACAAAGTTTTCATGTAAACTTTGAATGAAACTTGAATACAGCTTTCGTTCATAATTGTTGGTGTGGATGAAAAATTTTCTTTTGAATGAAAATATGTGTTAATGAAATGTGGCAGATTTCCCCTCCTTTTCATTCGTTTCATTTCTCATCATTATTAGTAACTTGAAATTATTTTGTCTAAATAAAAATTTCTGTATCTTTAATAATATTGCAGTTACCTTCTAAGGTTTGTTGATTTTACTGCATTTACATTCTGAGTATGCTAATTCTGAAATAAAACTTAAATCATCAATTTTATTTTAGGTACTTCGATTTTACCTCCATCTCTAGATTTCTTAAATTCCTGCTCAAAAAGTGACAGTAGCTCAGATTGCCGAAGCCTGAGTCCTGAGCCAGAAATTAAAGAATGTCCAAATGTAAAAGAAATATCTGCTAAGAATTCTGATAGTCGTGAGAAGATTAATGCTAAGCATGAAATTGTAGAGAATGGGGTACGCAGACATGCCTGTAAAGCTTCATCCAAACGTCACCCAGGTGCTTCCCAGGTTATTAAGAAAACAAATTCAACAGTACTTAAATCACAGAAAGAGGTAAAAAAATTTTTTTTCATTAAATTAAAATTATTTTGATTTTAAAATTCGTAACGATTCCATACGGTAAACAGAAAAGTTCTAAAACTCCATTTCTTTAAGTAGAAACTGGTTGTAACTTTTTTTTTTTTAGATATCTTTTTCAATGTTTTTTATGAAAAAAAGAAAAAACTGAAAGTTTGTCTTACTATTTTCATTGCATTAAGGTTAGACCAAAAAGGTATGTGTTGTTGCAAAATACAACATTATTACCGTTTGACTTACATAATGGTGCTTTCCTCAGTTTTGAAAATGAAGAATTTTTCACATTATAAGCAACCATTTGAATGACAGAATCTCCCATTTAGTCTCTATCTTAAATATGTGTCACAATTCATATGCATGCCATGTTTTTTCAAAAAAAAAATTCATATAAAAAATATTATTTATATATTAATATATATATTTTTAGTCAATTCCTACTTAGGTCAACAAACAAAAATTTTAAAAATACAAAACTTTCGTACATAGGACTGCTATACAGGTAGTCGTGCACCTCCCTTTTTGGTTGTATTTTTTGTATGTATTAACACCAAAAGTAAATATATATATAATATCACCACTCTGTTACTCGGCTTCGTGACCTCAGTTTTTTTATTCTGATAAGTTGGTAAATTGTGCATTTTTTGGCTTTAAAAGTGATTCAGTGTTCTTCTTACATTTCGCTTAAGGTTTTTATGCCTTTAGTTAATATGCATGCAATAGTTTTAGAATAATTAACAATTTAAAAGTTGTTAGTTAAAAGTGCGACTAAGCCTAATAGAGCAGCCATATTTGTTTACATTTGAAACTTAGCAGAATAGTGAATTTAGTTAGTTTCTGTACCTTCAGTATTTTTTTGCCAAGCAGGACCAAAAGTAAACTTTCAGCTTTGTGCACGGAAAAATCTGCCTTCTTGCTCGCTGGTCAGTAATTTTTTTTTTTTCGTTTTTTAGAATTTTTAATTCTGAAAATTGTTTTTCTAATTGTTTTAACTGTATTTGGTGTTTTACGTTTTTCTATATTTTTCAATTTTTATTAAAGATATTTTGAGACATTATGGCCCCCTCCCTTGCCATGAAGTGAGAACTGAATTATTTGAATGAGAAATATAGCCAATGAAATTCAAAAAATAAGCTTAAATGAAAGGTAGTAAAAATGTGTGTAATTTAATATTCCATACGAAATGTGTGTGTCCACATCAGATTTTTTCTACCATAAAATGCTTTGTCTTTAGTGTGGTGAGAGCTGGTTGAATTGCAGACCAGCAGATCATTTTAATTGCATTCCAAGTACAGAACAAAGTCTGAAATCTGGGCTTGTCGGGGCTTCAATTCCGGATTTGGGATTTTTCCAGATATTAGATCATCAATTTAAATCTAGTAAGATAACATGTAGGAATTATAAAATAAAAAATATGAAATTGTGATTTATGAAATAATGAAGTATTTATAATCTAAAGGATATCAAAATTAAAAAAAAAATAAATAATAAAGCCTAATGCTTATTTGTTTATTTTATTAAACATTTCTTTCAATGTAAGTTGTTTAAGTTGCTTCATTTTTTTTTTTTTTTTTTTTTTTTTTTTTTTTTTTTTTTTTTTTGCTAATACTTTCTCTTTAATTCTGTAGGCAGACATATTCTCTTGTTCAGTTACTTTGTTGGAGTCATCTTCATTTATTATCCCTTCTCCACATTTCTTTACAAAATCCGTTAATTGGAAAATTTCACCTTTGTTTTGCAATATCCAAAATCCTTTAAAATTAGCGGCTATCATTACCAAATTTAGCTATCCTTTACTATACGTATTTAGCTATGCATCTTCAGCTGGGCGACTAATGACAAGTTATTCCGTTAACTTTTATGTTGCTTCTATCACGCACTAAGACAGTTAAGCCTGAATTGTATTAGTTTAGTTATTTATTATACTTATGTCTATTACTTGCACATGCTTAAGGCTTATCAGAGTTCTGAATAAATAAATTCCCATATATACTTATTGAGGGCCAGCGTTAGATATCTTACCACCTGATGCAGTCTCTGTAGGTCCTAAATTCTGCGACTCGGTGCGGTCGTAGGAGCCCTGGCGCTGGTTCTGGGTTAATGTGAATAACAAATCAGTTGTTAATTCAAATAGACTGTAAGGATCCTAAGTTTTACTTTTATTTTAAAACTGTGCTATCACTTCTTATTTTCTACTTCCAGCCAGAATTAAATGCTTTAACTTGTTTATGCAAATTGTCTTGCAAACGCCCAAGTACTTAAGTTGTGGGTTTTTGCCAAGCGGGAGAGAGAAGGAGTTTTAGGAAGCAAGCCGCTTGCCACTGCAGTTTTACGAGTTTTCACTCGGTTGCTGTTTGCCTTTAAGGCCAGAGGTTTACCCCTCTTGATATTTGCAAACTTATTGTAGTTTCAGCAGCTCGACGTACTACATACATACTATTTTTAAATAAAGGCCAGTCTTAGTGCTAGGCATTTGTATACTAATTCAAAGTTAGCTTTTAGTTAGAGTTTTAGTTAGTAGTTTTATATTCTTACGTTCAGACCACAAGTGGTTGGTCTCTGTATTTCGAAGTTCGGAAGTGCCTGTAAAGTATTGAAAATAAAGGGTTTCGTATACCCTTCCTGCTTGTGTCGTCTGTTATACACAAATCTTGAACATAGCTTGAGTAAGCTCCCTGTTCTTATTCAGGGCATTCCATGTTTCCAAAGCAAATCAAGAGAAACACAAGTCCTGACAAGCCTTAAATACGAGGGCTATCCAGAAAGTAGATTACGTTTTGGAATAAAAAAATAAACAAAGTATAGGAAACAAATTTTATTATATACAGATGAAAGCCACACTAAATACTACTTTTCTACATAGTCACCATACAAATTAAGGCATTTATCGTATCGATGTACGAGCTTGGAAATTCCTTCGTCGAAAAATTCGGCCGCCTGCGCCTTCAACCACTTCGTTACCTCTTCTTGCCTTCCATCTTGCACAAAACTTGTGGTAACCAAGCTTTTCGCTGATGATTTCGTGCAACAAACTTCGCGAAATTTGTGGAGGATGGAAACTCAAAGAAAGTTCCATTATTGTGAAATTTCGATTTTCACGGACTTTAGCATCGACTACTTTTCGAGAAGTTCAGCGGTCAACTATGCTGGGTCTCCCACTTCGATCTTCGTCGTGAACATTGGTTCGGCCATTTTGAAATCTTATGACCCACTGACGCACTCCACCTTCAGTGATAATGTTGTCCCCATACACTTCACGAAGCTGCCGATAGATTTCTATCGGTTTACAGTTTTTTGCAGTCAGAAACCTTATTACTGAGGGCACCTCGCAGCTCGCGGGATTTTCAATTAACGCAGACATTTCAAACCGTCACAGTATCTGAACGGAGCACAGCACGAACCTCTCACTAGCACGGCTAGATGCAGACTGAGCTGCGCAACGCTCTGACCCCAAGATGGCCGCGCTAGCCCCGCCCCTAGCGGACACAGACGGAAACGTAATCTACTTCCTGGATGGCTCTCGTAGAATCTTCAGGTCTATGAGTATTATTAACAAAATCTATTTTTAGCATATGGAAAGAAATTTTTGGTAATTTTTTTTTTTTCCCTCGTCAACATTTTAAAGCGCATTTAACTTAAATTTGTAATCATCGACAAGTGTAATGTCAACATAAAAGGTTACCATGATGAAAAGAAAGTATAATAAATAATAATTCGCCACGTTGGCGTCAGATCAACGATGTAATTATGTGGAGTGTTTCGGTTTGAGATGTGTGGCAAGCAGGTACGCAGCAACGGAGCCAAATTACTGATCATACAAATTTATCCTAAAATGGTTGTTTCTTCAATAACAAGGTATTTTATTTAGTGTCAAAGTGAAATTAAGAATTGGGACTCTCCAGATGTTTTATTATGCGAGTAGGGGAGAATCAAATGCACATGCGTAAAGCTTATGAGAAAAACATTGTTGGTGGTTTTGACATCCGGATAATGGACGTCCAGATTTTGGACTTTGCGCTGTAGTAGCATTCAGCCTACTTCTTTATTGTTTATGTGTACTATGCCTGAAATGTGTAATGTCATTATCATGTGTGTAGATGCATTGAGCCTGCACTCTGACTGGTCATTTGGAAATAAGTCTGACCGACAGTATTAACTAGGTCTTAATTTTGGGGAAACAGAATAGGTGATTTGAGTAGAAATTATTAATGTGGGTGTCTGAGATTTTCCTAAATTTGTTCCTCATTTATGTAATTTAAGAAAATTTCTATTTCTTAATAATATGATAACTTTTCAATTAACTAATGACTTATATATAGAAGCAATTTTTTTGTTATTATTATTAGTTTAGTTTCATTTAACAGCTTCAAATTCTGCTTATCTTTGTTCTGTGAAAAAAATTATTTCTAAACTTTCATAATGACCAATGTTCCATGAACATAAATATGTTTTTTCCCTTAGGTTAGAAATAATCCTAAAGAACATAATCTTTATTTCTTAATTTTCAAAATGTAGATAATTAGGATAGGTTTATAATGTGTTCTGTATCTGAGATATAAAAATTCTTTTTTTCCTGTGTATAAATATGAGTACAAAATCTATACTATCAGTACTATTAAAATCTGTGCGCATCTGTCTGTCTGTTGGTTGGTTGGTGCCAAAACTTCATGGCAAGCCATTTTGACCATTCTCATCTTCGTACAAGATATTAATTTAAACCCTGAAAATGCTAACTTTCGCCCTCATTTTTCTGAGTGGCAGCCAGCAGCCTCACACACTGGAGATAAAAATCTGCTTTGGTTTGAAAAGTGTTGCCGCTGTTCACTTTCAAATTGTAGAGTTTGTTAATAAAATTTTGTAAGTTTTACAAAGTATGAAATACCAATAGCAGTGTCGAACAATTAATACATTATTTCGGATTCCAAAAGTTTGTGTGAAGTCATTTCGATCATTTTCATCTTCGTAGGGCTTTAATCAGTCGAGATATTAATTAACCCCCTTAACTGCCGTGGTGACCTTGACAAAGTATGTGAAGAAAGATACTATTTGAGAGAAGTATGGGGAGAAATTGAAGAGAGGAATGTGTCTAAAGTGGTGAAAGTAATGACTGCGCAGTATTGGCTGGTGTTTGAGTCTTTTTTTTTTAATTATTATTATTATTATATTATTATTATTATTAACCTGTGCCCTCCATTTTCATTTACTTTTTGTAGTAGGTTCCAGGAATAAAGAAAAATATAACGGATGTTTCAAACCCATTTATCTTTTTGGAATTATTTTGTGATGAACTGCTTGTGCTTCATATTGTTACTGAAACTAACCGTTTTGTAGACGAGTTTATGAACCAACACCTTGCTAAGGAAAAATCGAGAACAAAATCTTGGCATTCAACCAGTTCAGAAGAAATATTTGTTTTTTTAGGCATACTGATTTCACAAGGTATAACACTGAAACCTGATATTACACTTTACTGGTCTAAAAATAAATTGATCGAAACTTCATTTTAGGTATCTTTTTTTATTATAAAAATATATTTTTTTTATTCTTACATCTTTTTATTATACTTTTACTGTAAACATTAAATTTTGTGCATTCATTTTTTTATTTTATTCTTTATTTTGTGAAAGTAAACAGTTTTTAGAAAGTAAAACTTACACTTATTTTTCCCCTAATGCATCGCATAACTACGCGCGTCTGTGGGAAAAACTGTGGCACCGAGAAATGAATCTTGTACATTTTCCGCTGCAGTTAAGGGGTTAAAAACTGTGAAAATGCTAATTTTTGCACTCATTTTTCTGATTTCCGCAACAGTTAAGGGGTTTAAAAACTGTGAAAATGCTAATTTTTCCACTCATTTTTCTGATTGGCAACAGTCTCGTGCATTGGAGATAAAAATGCTTTATTTTGAAAAGTCTTGACACTGCTCACTTTCAAATCATAGAGTTTGTTATTAAAAAAATGCATAAGTTTTACGAAATATGAAATAAAAATAGCATTAGCAATCATTAAACATATTATTATTTTGAAATTGAAGAAAGCATGCAATTTGCATATGTCATCATATGTCGAAACTGTTTTGTTAATTTCAGCATTTTAAGTAAATAGCTGCTTTTGGCAACTTTTTTGTCTCATGTTAATATAATTGGCACAATATAGTATTGGCATGTTAATTCTTTTATTAATAGTGAGAAAATGATGTTATGTTACATGAAATTTAAATCATAATGTCATACATATTAACCTTAAGTGTCAAAAGCTTTTTTTCCCTAGTTGGGCAGTTGAAAAATTATTTTCGAATTGGTTGTTGCTTGGAAGGAATAAACTGATTTCTTTCATATTGAAATGTTTTCATACATTTGCTTTTCAGGGCTTCATAGAAATTGGCTGCAGCTTGCTGAGCTGGCAGGCTTGCTCGCTAGTATATTATATTTTCTGTATGAATTGGTATGATTTTAGGTGCCTTTGTTATGATCCTGAGAAAGCTAAAAATGTTTTTACTCATAATTTTTCTGTTCTTTTTTTTTCATGGCATTTCAGTTTATGAAAGTTTTCATAGGAATATTTTATTTTAATATAGTAAAGAAAACTGTGCTATTTTAAAAGACAGGTAGCCCAAATCTATACATAAATGTTTCAATAAGTTATAATAAGTCATTTCAGCAGCTTACATTCTTATTGATAAGTACATTGAATCATTCAAATGTGATTTTTGTGTATGTATCAGATAATGTTTTATTGCTTTTTTTACTTCAATTATTATTTTTCCTTTTCCGATTGTGTCTCTGGAATCCTTATTTTAATTTTCTATTCATAGTTCATTATGCTTTTCCTTTAGGTATCAATTGTACGCAAAAGAAAGTCAAGAGATCAGAGTGATCAAGATTTTATTCCAACAAATGTTTCATCTCGTTTAAAATCCTCATGTAATGGAAGAACAAGGTCATCAACATTTCATGCCCTTAGAGAAAAATACAAGAAACAGAGAATTGCTGCTGATAAGAAAAAATTATTACCTGTTAAAAATACAAATGCTGCTACCTCTTTGATATCTCATACAAGAGGGCATGCTACTAGATCACAAAGCATTAAATCTCTGTCAAAGAGAAATTCACCGGAGGTTGTTGAAACTAAGACTCGGCTGAAACCGGGACATGTAATTTTAACTAAAAATAAACAGACTCGCATCGAAAGAAAGCTTGCCATGGAAAAGCGTAAATCTTTACGATCGGCTCATCCTACTAGAGATTTCAGCCAGAAAAGAATTTCCGTTTTAAGTAAAAAGACTCCGTGGCTTCGGCGAGCCAAACTTGTCCCTCCTATTGTAGACGTTGATTCTGATAGTGAACCAGAAATCATCAGTGCAGCTCCAACAAAAAAGATTACTCCTGCTGTCACCCCAAGTGGGCCAGAAAATGTATCAAATAAAAATTCTGTATCTGAGCGACTACGTAGCAGGCGTTTTGCTTCTAAAGTGCATTCTCATTTATCTTCGCAGCAAGTTTTGCTCCGGAAGCACATGCAAAATCGTTTAAAAGCAAAGAAAAATATTCTGAAAAATAAAAATATAAAATCGAGAACTATTATTAAGCGAGCAACTAAGCAAAATATGTACAAAAAAGTTAGAAAAAGTCTTGTTATGAAAACAATGTCCTTAAGAAAAGACCTTCAAAATAAACGTGTTACGCGTAGTGCCAAACATCAGATAGAAGAGCTGTTTTGGTCCAATCCTGAAAAACGGTCAAAAGTACTAAGCACTAAAAGAATTCCAGTTTCTAAACCTGACAAAAAACGTGTACTGCCAAAAGATTTCCCTCCTCCTAAAAGACAGAAAGTAGTACATACGGTTAAAGATTTGAAACCATCAAAGTGTCAGTCCAAGGAACCTCTGAAAAGGAAACCTATAGCTGTAGATGGAACAAGAGCATCGAAACAAAATACATCTGTGAGTGATGTTCTTAAAGTAAAAGAATCTGTAAAAATTACCCGAAGCTCAAAAGTTTTAGCTCCAGTTGATGATAAACCAAGCACTTCATCTAGTGTTTGTAATGGATCTTTGCTTCCAAAATCTAAAACAGAAAGTATGTCAAATATTAAAAGCCCAGGGGCAAATGCAACTAATACACTTTTACATACTAAAGCCAAAACAGAAAGTATGTCAAATATTAAAAGCACAGGAGCAAGTGTAACTAATACATTTTTACATCCAAAATCCAAAACAGAAAGTACATCAAATATTAAAAGCATGGGGGCAGCTAATATACTTTTACATACTAAATCCAAACCAGAAAATATATCAAATATTAAAAGCCCAGTGGTAAATGTAACTAACACACTTTCACATACTAAAGCCAAAACAGAAAGTATGTCAAATATTAAAAGCACGGGAGCAAGTGTAACTAATACACTTTTACATCCGAAATCCAAAACAGAAAGTACATCAAATATTAAAAGCACAGGGGCAGCTAATATACTTTTACATACTAAATCCAAACCAGAAAATATATCAAATATTAAAAGCCCAGTGGTAAATGCAACTAATACACTTTTACATACTAAATCCAAACCAGAAAATACCTCAAATATTAAAAGTGCAGGGGCAAATGCAACTAATGCACTTTTACATACTAAGTCCAAAACAGAAAGTATGTCAAATATTAAAAGCACAGGGGCAAATGCAACTAATACACTTTTACATACTAAATCCAAACAAGAAAATATGTCAAATATTAAAAGCATAGGGGCAAATGCAACTAATACACTTTTGAATACTAAATCCAAAACAGAAAGTATATCAAATATTAAAAGCACAGGTTCAAATGTAGCTAATTTAGTTTCACATACTAAATCCAAAACAGAAAGCATACCTCATACTAAAACTTCTGAAATTACATCTAATGCTTTACCATATATTAAAACTATATCAGGAAATGTGTCTAATGTTAAAAACCTAGCAACAGCTTCATCTGAAATAATTTTACATTCTAAAACTAAAAGTGAAAATATATCTAATGATAAAAATTGGGAAACAAAAGCATCTAATCTATCTTCACCTTCTAAAGCTAAAATAGAAAATGCATCTGTTAAAAACATACCACCTGCTACATTTGATATTTCTTTGCATTCTAAAACAAAAACTGCAAATATATCAAACGATAAAAATGCAAAAATTGCACATTCTAGTGTATCTTCACATCCAAACTCTAAATTGGAAAATATATCCAATGTTAAAAGTTTAGTTACTGTACCTAATACATTTGCACATCCTAAAGCTATAGTAGAGAATGGAGCAAATCTTAAAACTTCATCTAATATCAAAAACTCATGTGCTAGGTTGAGCAAGGAAAATAGTGCAAGTACTTCAAAGGAATCGAGAACTATTAATATCCCTACTTCTGAGCAGTCCAGTTCTTTTGATGTTAATGTTAAACATATTACTGATATTCATAAGCCAAGTACCTCTAGTGCTGGTTTGCAAAGCTTACCTAACACATTTGATTCAGAAATTAGCAAACTGAATTTATTGCCTTCAGTTGTCTCTGAGGTTAAAACACTAAACAGAGTGTGTAATAATACTGAGACTAATAAAAATGATTTTAGGAATAAAGATACTGATGCATTGATAGAAGTGAAAGAAACTAATGTTCAAAATAATTTAAACTTCTCAGAAACTGAAAAAAGTGCTAACAAAGATATTTCAAAGTTGATTGTTTTAAATGTTGAATGTGATGAATCAAATTTAATTGAGAAATATGAACCTTGTTGTAGTAAATTTATTAGAGAAGGACATAAAGAAAAATCACCCGAAGACAGAACTTCGAAAATTGAAACGTTTAAAGAGCAGAATGTAAAAGATAATGTTCAGTCTTGTAAAAAGAGTGCTGAAAAGAAGTACTTGAAGAAACATGATAAAGATCATGCATTATCTCCAAGAAAATATATTGAAAAAGCCCAAAAACTTCATAGAAAAGAAAGTGAAAAGAGTGGAAAATCTCATAAAAAGGATTATAATAAAGAGAAAGATTCCTCAGCAGTGAGTAAAGATGTGAGAAAAAGTACTGATAAATTGCATCAGAAAAAAGAATTAAATAAAAGTAAACACGAAAATAGTTTTACCTCTGAGGAGTCTGATAGTGACATAGATATAAAATCATTAAGCAGGTCTATTAATAAGAAAGAATATAAAGAAAAACTTGTCAGCATTCTTGATGATAGTAGATCCAACAAAAAAGGTCTAGATAAAGTTCCCAAGAAAGAATTAAATAAAGATAAAAGTGAAAGTACAAGATGTCAAAATGAAAATGATTTTGTAAAAATAAACAAAAATACAAACAAGTTGAACCAGAAAAAAGATAAAATTGAAAAGAATAGAAATCATTATGAAAATACTGTAATTACTGGAAAGAATTCTGTCATATTAGATCAAGAAAATGAAAGGGGAGAAAATCTTAAAGAACAGTTGAATAATAAAGTTACTTCCAAAATGCCTAATGAAATAATACTGTCGGACTCTGATGATGATTCCGATTATGATATAACTTTAGACCATTTTATAAAATTGAAATCTGAAAGTAAATTACAGCACAAATCTGAATCTTTTAATACTAATGAAAATTTTACTTTAAGCAAAGAATTAAATACTGAAGTGAATGCAGTCAGTAAGGCAAATAAAGATATTACAATAGAGAAAAAAGAAACAAATAAGGAACTTCACAAATTTAAAAAGGACAGTGATTCTTCTAAACATAAGAAAGATAGCTCTAAAAATAAGACTCACGACAAGGAATCAAAAGCTTTCCGAAAGGAAGACAAACTGAATAAAAAAGAGGCTGGAAAGTCTTTAGCAAAACTGTTGAAGAAGGAACGAGAGAGAGAGAAAATTTTGTTTAGTAAAAAAGAGGATAAGGAAAAATCTAAGCATAAAAGAGATGGTTCTAGTAGCTCTAAGTCATCTAAAAGAGATTTTGAAAAAGATGGCCTAAAGCTAAGCAAGAAAGAAATAAAAGATGGCTGCTCATCTGAAAAGCCAATTGACATAAATCCTGAATTTTTAGAAATAAAGAAGGATAAAAGTAGCAAAAAAGAATCTGGTAAATTGTCAAGATCAAATAGTTATGATGAAACAAAATCGCCTAAGAAGAAGAAAAAACATAATCAGTTTAGAGATATAGAAAAGATTAAGAGAATATTTAGTAAATCTACCATTCTTGATGAACTTAGGGGATTCAAAGAATTTAAGCGGCGAATGTCAGGTGATAAATCTGAGTATAAGAAATCAAAAAAGCGAAGAAAATTGGCCATATTAAAGGGGAAAAAAATGTCTAAAAAACTCTCTGAAAAACTTCTCAGAAAATATTCTAAAAAGAAAGGACTTAAATCTAAAAAGAACAAACTTAAAAAGAAGGAACTTCGTAAAGAACTAAAGTTTACGGATTTAGGAGGTAAATTACATTCCAAAAGTAAAAAACAAAAGCACAAAGCTAAAACGGAACATCATAGAAAAGATAGCCAGGAAAAACTGAGAATTACTGAAAATGCTGTAATATCAAATGGCAAAATCACCAGTTCTATACCTGAAAATTCGCAGTTTATCGCAAAATTAAAACCAGAATCGCACGTTGCAGCAGAACAAGTGCTTATTGCGTCTGAACCGTTGAGTAGCAGTATTCAGATGTGTACCAACGAGACTAGTACAGCACCTTCATTTATTATTGAAAATGTAGCTGAAGTTGTTCCTGCAATAGAAGCTATATCAGCTGATGTTTCACAGCCTATTCCTGCTGATCTTGTTTTCAGTGCTCCAGATGAGTTGCAAACTATTGTGACTGGTGAGTTTAGTGGTGTATTTGATGAAGCTTTTCCTTCTGGTACGATACTCTTAGCTACCAGAGACAGCATCTCTCAAGTGCCTGTACATTTTATTCAGGATTTGTCTGTCCCCAAAACTATGGCCGATGCTGCCACAAATACTGGAGATGACGACATCGATGAAAGTATTAATATCATTCCCGAGTACCTCAGAAGCGAAGAGATGTCCGTGGGGACACAGACAATAACTCCTGCTGGCTCTCCGTCGCCGACAGTTGAAGTGCGTACTTTGGTGCCTTCTCAAGTAGTTGAATCGCCTTTAGCAACGAAAAAGAAAGATGAGTTTGTAAAGCCTTCCACATCCGCTAGTTCTTATACCAAAGTTCCTGAGAAAATACCTGTTCCTACTGTTTCGACTCCTGGTAAAAGTAAATCTACAAATGCTGTAAATAGTTCATTAGAGTCTTCCTCTCCCAAGGTCAAGAAAAGGACCTTCGTAAAAAAAGCTAAAATTCCCCTGCATTTTTCGTTGTCAAATAGTGAACCTTTTCCATTAGAAACTGCAAGAATGGTGGCAGCACCTGTGTATTATCCCACCATGGAGGAGTTCCGAGATCCTTTGGAGTACATTTGTAAGATACACCCTGAAGCTGGAAAATACGGTATTTGTAAAATAGTCCCACCTTCATCTTTCAAGGTAATCTTTTTTAATATTACCTTTCACTTTATACAAAATGTTTTGATATTTGATCTCCTGTAATATTTTTTGAACTAGTAATTATTAAAATTGATTCATTATTTGGCATTAAGTTTAATGAAAAAGATAGTATTAGCTTTTAAAGTGCCCTGAACTGGCTCTTTTGTTGAAATTTATGTCAGATGTTGAGTCATCATTGTTCTTGATGCAGGAGGTCTTATACCAAGAAATGCTCATTTTTAAACAGGGTTGCCTCTCTACCTGGGAAACTGGGAAAAGTTGGGGAATTCGAAAATTTACCAAAAAAAGTCAGGGAATTTAAATATTTTATTCAAAATCTAGAAAAGTCAGGGAATTTCATATTGTGATCCCAAAAAAAGAAAGAGTTTTTCGTGCTCGGAAGCGATCACTTTCATGGCGAATCGTGTATCGTGTGAGTGTCATTCAGACAGCTGGAGTATAGCCGAGTTTTGCAGCACCAATCAAATTATCTTTTAGAAGGGAAAAGCAAGTTTCCAGCATCTTTGGTTTCCAGTAACCTTAAGAATCCAAAAGAATCACCTGCACGTGTACAGTCCATGTTGAACGAAAGTACCCCCCCCCCCAATTCTTGTGTAAGCTGCAAAATGTCTGCAGAAAAAATATTTTTATATCCTGATTGGGCAGATTCTAATCTCAATTTTCAGTGGAGAAAACAACTCCTATCATAAAAGTGATGCTTTTAGGTTTATATATTCATATGTAATTGGCAAATTTTTGTGTTTTCAAGTGGTACCATAGTTAATTTACCCTCAGCGTATCCAACATGCGCTACATGGATAGCCTGGAATTTTCTTGAAACACACCTGGAAAAGTCAGGGAATTTCATTCTCCCGTTTGAGTGGCAACCCTTTTTAAATTAAGACATCTGTACTTTTTATAAAATGTTGTGTATGACGAGAAAAGGAAAGTATGTACAAGCATGGAAAAGTTACGCGTATCATTATTATTTCTTCTGTATTTATATACGAGGGTAAGGTGAAAAGTTCTCAGCTTGACAATGAAAGATTGTGACTTTCAGTTTTAAAATGATTTTATTTTTCTATATAATCTTCCTTGACTTCACTTGGTCCAGCATTTCTCCAACATCAGTGTTCCTTCCTGGTAGTGAGAGTCTGGAACATTGTGAAAATATTCATCTACAACCCTCTCAACTTCTTTATTGGATGTGAAGTGCTTCCCAGAAACAAATTTCTTCAAGTTTGAGAACAGATGGGAATCTTCGGGTGCCAAGTCAGGAGAACGGGGAGAATGGCTTAACAAATCGTACCCCAAATCCCGCAGTTTTCCAATTGCCAACACACCCTTGTGCACAGATGTGTTGTCCTGGTGAAAAATGATTATTTCCTTCTTCAAGTCCGGCATCTTTTTGCAAATTTTGGCATCCAGTTTTTCCATCCTAGTCAGGAAGGTTGGAGTAATATTCACCTGTAATTGTTCTGCCTTTTGCAGGGTAATCAATTTACAGGATCTCTTTTGCATCCCAAAACACACTGGCTGTGACCTTTTCAGCAGATGTGATCAATTTTGCTTTGGTGCTGAACCAGCGGCTTCCACCCATTGCTTAGACTGCTGTTTCATTTCTGGTGTGTAGTAGTGTCTCATCTATGGTGACAGATCTTTGAGGGATGTGCAGCCACATTTAAATTCAACCACAGGAATTTGCTTAGAGGCTGATCCATCCAAAATGAAGAATTTTATGACTGCACAATATTCAAGTTTATCCATTTTAACAAATAACACACAAGATGCTTACTGCGAAAATTCGTGTAAACAAACTATTTGACAGAACAAGTTGAAACTGGTCATACGAACTAATGACAGGTGCACCCATGCAGAAAACAAAAAAGTTTTTGCTGATTGGAGTGCCATGTATGGGGTCTGGCCAAGAACGTTTTACCTTACCCTCGTATTTTGACCACTTGTTCTGTATGGAAAAAAGTATCAAAAGTCAAACAAAAGTTGGTGCACCAAAAATAAATACAGTCAAAAGTCGTTAATCCGGACTCGTCGGGACTTCGGCGATTCCGGATTATAGATCATCAGTTTAAATCTGGTAAGATGGCATGCAAAAATTACAAAATTAAAAATATGAAACCGTAATTTATGAAATAAAGAACAATTATGATCTAAAGGGTATCAAAATTTACAAAAAGAAAAAGCTTAATATTTCTTTGTTTACTTTATTAAACATTTCTTTCAATGTAAGTTGTTTAAGTTGCTTCATTTCATGTGACAATACTTTGTCTTTAATTCTATTAAACAGACATAATTTCTTGTTTAGTTACAAAGTTCCGCTGTTCAAGTCCTATAATTGCTGTGTTGAGAATACCGACTAATTTGTTAATCGAAATGTTTTCGTTTTCAATAACCTCTGGGTCACTTTCTTCACTATCGGAAGCGAATTATAATGACGAGGAACTTGATTTAAATCATATCAAAGACGGAGTACATCGAGACGAAATACTAAACTTAGTACGGAATTATAATCCAAAAAAATAATAAGCCGGATCCAATTCGAAGATTAAGGAACAACGCAATCTGCAACATTAACTGAATAACTTTAGCTTAGCGTATAACTCCGTTAAACATTAAACGCGCATGCGCACAAACATATTCACAGCCGTAAGGGTCTTACGCGCTCTCGTAAACGCCTGTGCGCATGCGTGAACGCGAAGCATGCGCAGAAAGTTTGTAGCTTTGAGGTCCGGATTATAGATCATTCCGGATTATGGGTGTCCGAATTAACGACTTTTGACTGTATATATATACATAATATACCCACTCTGTTACTCAGCTATGTGAGCTCAGTTTTTGTATTCTTATATGTTGTAAAATTGTTGTGCTTTTTTTTTATTTAAAAGTGATTCAATTATGTTATTCTTTTTCTGTAGGAAAAAGTATCGAAAGTGTAACAAAAGTAAAACTTTTGTATTGTGTGTTTACATATAATAAATAATAAATAAGTACTGAGTAAATTTATTTGCATGTAAAAATCTTGAAAAGTTTCTTTACTGTATTGTCTAATTTTATATATTTATTTTTCTGTTAGCCTGAATGCAAAGTTAATGATGACATGCGGTTTACAGCTCATAACCAATATGTACATAAAATGTTATACAGGTATACCAGTGTTAATATTTAATCATTTAAGAATTAGTTTGTGTATATAAAAGATATGTGCATTTTTCTATTCTTTTCTAATGATATATTTAATTTCAGATGGGGTCCAAATGTACAACATACTGCATGCATTAGAAAACATTTAAAATCTCAAAAAGTAAAACTGGAGCAGGCTCCTTTAGTAAGTAGTTACATGTAGGAGTACTTATTGAATTTAATAGTGTGCATTATATTCTTTTTATAGAAATGTTATGCTCTGCTTGATCTTGATGTCCCTTTCAGTGCTTTCTTGGTACGAATTAAAATCATAATTGAGCAATGTAATCACCAGTTAATAAGCTGATATACATTTCCTTATCCCTGGTATTGCTTCTGAATATAATGGAATTCTAAATTATAAAATTATACTTATGTTGTTGCGTTGTACAGGTTCATGGATTTGGAGCGATTGATGACAACATGATTAAGAAACAAAACACAATTTATTTGTCAGTATTTCACAGGAGCGTTCCAAAGACACATTTACAATTGTCAAAAAACTACGATAAATACGCTGAAACAAGGAGCAACACAGCCTTCAGGCTACAACGTTGAAGACAGCTTCATGGCAAAGCACTAGCTCATAGCTCCCGACTCAATTGATCGCTCATGGAGCTGAAGGCACTGCTACTCCACATACAGACAGGGTTTATATAGCTTTTGACCTGCCTTCGAGAATATTATGTGGTAAACTGATAAGAATTTGTTTTAGCGTATCCTCTCTTTGTCTATGGCATGTCCCCAAATCTGGCAACCCTGCCTTCCCTTGCCATTTTCTTGGCAACTAAACCTGTTTTGTGGAGAAGCTATATTACATTGGCTGGGCCATTTGATAACAATGTGTGCATCTTGTCTTGTGGTGCACACTTTTGTATTGGCTTTCTCATTATGAAAATAGAAATCTCAGGACTGAGCACGTTATAAATGAGTTTAAAAATATTATAAATGTAAGATGGGGGGAAAATGTGTAGGAACTATAGATAAAAAAATTTCATGCTAAATCAACTTATTTAAATTTATCTTATTAATTGCAAATACTGAAATATTAATTGTAAAGATTTTATACCACTATATATGCCTGCAAAGTTTGCAGATGTTTTTCCGATTCATTAAATTTTTTCAAATTTACTTAAAAACATGGGGCTGACCAGCAGCCAAGTGGTTAAAATTACTGAATGCTGGTAATTCAACCTAGGAAGGATAATTTATTTTTATTTATTTATTTATTTATTTATTTATTTGTGAAAATTGATGTAATAATGCCATCTAGCAAGCAGTAGGAATAGCTTTCCTACTGCTTGCATTATGAATCACTTCAGAAGAAAAAAGTATTCGTATCTGTAACTGTAACTGTGGAAGGATTTTGTATACTGGTGGAAAACGATTTTTGCCCATGCAACCAAGAGTGAAGAAGCATCTCTTGTAACAATGATTTTGTCCTCTACAGTAGTGCTTATAAATATATAAATACATTTATAAATAAATACTAGCGAAATTCAAGTGCAGGCTCCGATTCAGAGGCTGAGTTTTATGCCCAAAAGAGGAAGAAAACTGGGAGCATTTACAGTGTTATGAAAGAGAAATCGTGCATGAGTTAGGACCTGATTGTAAGTGCAAATATTTTCAAATAAAAACAACAAGTTTTTTTCCTTTGGTTACTGATACCCCAGTGTCTTCGAAATGGGAGGCAGATATTTGTTTACACTTTGGAAGCGTATGTTCTTACTTCTCATTAAGAAGAAACAGTAAAATAATGAAAATAAATAAAGTAAAATAACTAATTTATATTATGAAATCAAGAAACTGTAAACATTCCCTGCAGTGGGCAAAGAAAACCAGATATTATTAACATGAACATTCTACATGGGAACATGTGTATATGTAGCACCAAACATAAGTAAAAATGTGTTTGTTTTGTATGTGTAGCATTGTGTTTTTTAATATGGTCATAGTGTCAGGTGCACTGTGTTAATAATAAAATGCAGTATTTCTGATGTTTTCAAATGACTTTTTTATCATGGAAAATCTTCGTATCCGCTATTAACTTTGGAATGTTCTTTTGAAAGTACATGCTCAATTCCTGTAGCAGACATTTTCTTAACATGGGCTCGCTTTTTGAAAATATCTGAATTTTGTGATTTGCTTTATTTGATATATTTATAAGATTAATATGAAATTTGTTTCTATGGTAGCAGACAAGTATATAGGTATTTTAATTGATACACAGTTTATCATTAGGCTTCATAACTTTGAAATAAGTGATTTCATGTAAACTTATATAATTACCCCTTTGAAAATTTAGACAAAATGTGAAAGTGTCCATATTTTATATTACGTCCAGAAGAGCATTTTAGTAACTTTTTGTGTGTTGCCTTTATTTATTAAATATCATTTTTTTGCACTTAAACCATCATTTCAACAGCAATATCACAAAATAATTTAAAAAGAGCATATCTTTAGGCTTTCCAATACACAGTCTCACATGCTGGAGATTTAAAAAAAAAAAAAAAAACTTTCTGTACGGTGTTGCCATTGCTTGCTTCGAATTCGTTGAGATTGTTAATCCAAAATTTGTTAAAGTTTTACAAAATTTGAAATAGATAATAAAACAAATTCCAAATGTGGTAGAGGTTCGAATCCTGCAAACGGGCTGGCTGCATGGGTGTTCATGGTTTTCTCCATGTTTAACATGTATACGAGCCAGTATCCCTTAGAAAGTCCTACACAAAGGCATCCCTCCTCTTAGGCAGATAGCCCTCAAGGCTTTGCCGTAATTAAGTAACCTGACCTAACCAAATGTGGTCATCCAGATTTTATGTACATATTGGGGTGGAGGATTAAGTTATTCAAAATTCAATGGCTTAAGATATTGTTTTATCACAATGCAAGAAACATAAATACATCTATACAGATTCTTCATTATTTAATTTCTTTAAAAATATTATTTGGTGGCAACAATTTGAAAAGTGATACAGCCTTTTAAAGTTTTCAACACAAAATGGAATCAAGAGCTCTTCTGGGCTAATTATACTAATTTTAAAATAATGAATATTGATCATTCTACTTTTCATTCTTCTTTTATTGAGTTTTGAGATTATCAATCATTGTTCACCTTGTTATTTTAACCTAAGGTTGTGATCTTTTTTTAACATATGACTAGATCTCATTTATTGGCCTTATTTTCTAATCATGCTTACATTGTTTTTTAATTGCAGATTGGCGGCATTGAGTTAGACATATCAAAATTTTATCATACTGTTCAGCAGTTTGGTGGATTGCAGCAAGTTATTGAGAAAAAGAAGTGGCAGAGAGTTGCCGATATTATCAAAGTGCCAAAAACTGTAGGTGCTCATTTTAATACTAATAAATATAGTAACTGCTTACATTGTCATAAAATACTGCACGTATTCAAAAAAGATTTTACACATAAAATATGTTTAAAGTGTTTGTTTTGAATGGATAATAGTGTTTAGAAAGTTTATAATATCATGTTTATGATATTTAATATATAAATCAAATGTTCAAAGATTTAATTTGTAACATGATACTTCTTGAAGTGACATACTTTTAAACAAATAACTTTTAGCCATACTTTGCAGAAAATAACAGTTACTGAAATCACTACTAAACTAAACTCAGTGGCGCAACAGCTCTAGTGGGCCACAGCCTGCAGTGCTCGAAATCTACTTTCTTGACCTTGGGTGTGGGGTGTGTCAGGTTTTCGCGAGGACCTCCGGTGTTTTGTCCCCGAGCGAACTTGGTACTCATTTTATCGACCCACTCTAGGGATGAAAGGCTGAGTCAACTTTGCCCAGACGGGGGATCGAACCCCGGACTTGTGGTGCAGCTGCGCAATGCGCTAGCCACTGTGCCACCAGGATTAAACATGAAAACACTAATATGTAAAATACTAAAATGCAGCCAAATTATGCGAATTTGGTTCACAATGTATAAGTGGATAAGCCCATGCACATTGATATGTGCTACTATTCTGACATTTTTTTATTCACTTGGCATCCAACTACATATCCTTTTTTACATGCTATTTATCCATTTGTGATCCATCTTTAGCAACTCTCCACCAATGTATTTTACATCACAGTTTGACTTGCAATACTTGATGTAAAATTTGTATATACCTCTAGGCTGTGCAAGTACATGATGAAATGAACCATAAAAGAAAGAATCAATATAAAGCTAACTGTTAGTAAATGCAAATAAAAAGCCCCTAATCTCTGTTAAAATATGTGGGACTATTACAATTGCAAAATATAAATGTTGCAAGAAATTTTATAATTCAATGCTAATTACTCTAAAGAACTTATGAAATTAATTTTATTTATGACTTTATTTTGAAATTAAATATTAGATTGTTTAATAATAATGCATCCTATTTATAGATTCATTATTTTCTGACAAATTACTAAAGTGTTATTACCGAAGGGAAGTTTGGGTGTCGAGAATTGCTTTAGTTTATTCACTTCCCATTTACTTGATAGCTCCTTAATTTTTTCATTGATGGTCCTTAAAAGCACTTAAATTTCCATGTGCAGAAATGTGTACAAACCCTATTATACACATTTTGATTCTGTAGCTTGGAAGCTAGGTTTTATTAGTGAATAGTGTATTTATTAGTGGATGGTGCTTCATTTGTTTTACCATTTTGCTTATACGATTAACTTTCACAGCAACATTTCGCGGCACTTCTTTTTACAGCAACATTTGCTGTCATTATTTATTTGCCATTTATTCACTGAGTCACTCTTATGATATTAAATATTATTATAATGCATTTTACACTCCTTTTGATCTGTACTGTTATCACAGATTCTGCTTCTGAATTCCTTAAGGATGGTGAAAATTTTACCTTGCACAACGTTTTTATTTGGCAAACAAGATACCTTACAGTTTTACAAAAAAGATCTTATCCTCGTGGTTTATGCACCAACCACAGAGTTGCCAACTCTCCTGATTTTAGACGGGAGACTTCCAATTTTCAACCATTCTCCCCGCAACCTGATTTACACACATTTCTCCCGACTTTTTCTTATTCTTAAAATTGCTCACGATTTTCATATAGCTCGGCTTATAGTGTATTTCTTTTGCCTTCTTAGCATGCCTTCATGGTGTAGTGGTCAGCACACTCGACGCCTATTCGAGAGTCCGTGGTTAGAGCCCCAGCAAGGGCATTGCTCATTTTTCATGTCTCCTACTTCAAAAATACCTAATGTCTCTGCAAGCTTCATTATTTGCACTAGTCTATTATTTTCATTGCATTAAACTGAGTCATTATTTTCAATGCAGTCTAGAGAAAAACCAGGTGACTGAAAGCACTTGGTGCCAATGAGCACTAAGCAAGATTGAGGGTGTTATTTCGTTTATCTTGACAGTAAGCTGTGTGAGCACACGTGCTTGCAAAAAATTGTCTAAGAAATTTTGATATTTTGTTTTAGTTATGTCTGGGATAAAGGTAAAATACTCATGTATTTTTCAAAAATCATACACAGAGGACTTTCCTTCTATCATTTCCTCAGGAAATGGAATACATTTGCGATGTGTACCGTTTGCAAATTTTCTGTTTAGAATGATGGAAAGACCAATGTTCTTAAACATATGGGTACACAGAAACACAATGGCAACATGAGTTTTGTCAAAAAAACGAAAAATTATTTTTTCCTGGGAAAACAAAGGACCAAAAACTTATTAATGCAGAATGTACTGTTTGCATTTAAGAATTAGTAACTGAACTTTCAGATATTAATTAGGAACTATTTAAGGCTAATTCATTATTTAAAAAATATATTTTTATCATTTAAAAATCCTTTTGTTGTTGAGAAAAATCTCCTGATTTCTTAAACAGTTCTGCCGATCTTTCAGTGTCGTAGGTTGGCAAGTATACAACCAATCTCTTGTGAGAACTGCAACTGTCTTTTTGGAATTGTATTGCATTGTTAAGGATACATATTGGTTTTAAAATTGCGACTTGTTTTATGCTTGTGTTGCAGAATGTAAAAATTGGTTTTTGAGAAAACCACCTCAATTTTATATGTGTATTAAATTGGTATTTTTCTGTATTACTTTTAAAATATCAAATCTACAGAATTTCATACAGTTTTTATAACAAAATATATGCATTTATTAGTTTGATGTATATTTTGCATCAGATATAAGCATAATTATATTATGGTTTATGAAGTGCGAGTAGATCTTAATGTGTCATTTTGTCAGATTATTGTATTTCTCTTATTTATTTATTTGGTGTAGGCACAAGATAGGGTTACGAAGCTGTATGATGCATACTGTAAATATTTAGTTTCTTATGACACACTGCCAGCTGATGAGAAGCAAAAACTAGAGGAAGATGTGCTTGCTGATCATGAGCGACATGTTAGACTGCGTAACAGTGCAAAAGACTCTGAAAAAGAGGAAGAAGATGCAGATGATGATGAGAATAATGACTGTGTTACAAAAGTATGTTTTCATTTACAAAGATGCTTAACTACTCATAAATAAAAATATTTGGAAAACGAGAATAAATGCAAATTATTGATGGCTGAGCTGACAGCTGTTTATTTCAGCAGGGTTGCCACACCTGGAAAAGTCGGGGAATTCAAAAACCGACCAAAAAAATCAGGGATTTTTAACATTTTAGTCAAAATCTAAAAAATTCGTGGAATTTCATGCGGCGATCCTAAAGAAAAGAGATTTTTTTGCCAATGTCAGAAGTGATCACTTTCTTGGCAAATTATGTATCGCATGAGCATCATTCCGGCACCTGGCATAGAGCCAGTTTTCACAGCTCCAATCAAACTGTCTTTAAGAAAAGCAAAGCAAGTTCCCAGCAACTTTGGTTTCCAGTAATCTCAAGAATCGACAGACTCGCATGTGCAGTGCATGTTAAACACAAGAAAATACCTTCACATTCTTGTATAAAACACTAATGTTTTGCAATAAAAACAATGCATGTACAGCGCAGTTACATTTTGCATTAAAATAAAAATAAAAAATAGTAATCAGTCATCTAGGCTAACTATTTATTATTTGCCAAAATATCATTGATTATTGTAATTCAATTTTTTAATCTTTAAATAGTTAACTCTATTTTAATGTTATTCATATCTTTTAATGTAAGTCATATAATTTAATTTGGCTTCTTCCTTCTGAATTTATTTATTATTATTTAATAATACTTTAAAATTTCAGGCAGTTTGCTTTGGCGTACTCCTGAAACTAATTCTAGCAGTATGATGACATATCATCACGGAATTTTATGTACATATTTTTTGCTTAATATGCTGCTAAATAAATATCAGATACTTGAATTTATTTAAAAATATAATTAAATAGATTTCTTGCTTCCTTTAGCTACAAAATGTCTGCAGAAAGGACATTTTTTAATCCTGATTGGGTAGATTCTAATTTCAATCCGCAGTTGAGAAAACAATTCCTCTTATAGTATAAACTTAATGCTTTGGAGATTATAAAGATTATTTGTATTTTTAAGTGGTACCATAATTAATTACCCTCAGCACAGCCAGTGTGCACTATGCGGATAACCCAGAATTTTCTTGAAACATACATAGAAAAGTCAGGAAATTTCAGTCTCCTGTTTAAGTGGCAACCCTGCATTAATTTCAGTTTTTGTAATAATGTGATAGTTTGAACTGTGGATGACACAAATGGAATTAAGTAAACTTTATTTAATCAAAGAAAAAATGCAATTTGATTACAGAGAAAAGTGGGTAATTACTTATTTATAATGAGCAAAAGTTCAAAATCATAATTACATACTGATACGAAAACATCAATTTTTCACTAATAGCTCAACATATGCTTATCCTGAGATTTGCATTTTGCATAAAAATTTCTAACAATTTGTACCAGTGTTAGATTTTATCGTTATTTGTGTTCATTCCTCTACATACATATTATATGTTGAAAGTTTTCTGTAAAACTGATGGTACATTTTATCGGTTGCATAATGAGCTTGAAAGCAATGAAAATTATTTAGAAAATAGTTCCTGAAATGCAATTTTTTTTAATATCTATTATAGTGATTTTTTATAACCACTTATGGTTCCATATAACTAATCTTCTGTGGTGATGTTGTCTTAGAGAAGTGATGTTCACTACTGAGGCCTATTTAAGTTCTTAGATGTGGCTCATTTTCAAATTTTGCTTGCATATGCTGTCCCAAAAGAAAGGAAAGAAAACTCGAGATAAATTTAATGTAAAAGTTTAACTTAAGCAATGCATTGCATAAAGATGACTATAAATATATTTCTACAATTAAAAATTAAAAAAAAAAAAAATCAGTTGAAATTTTTTAGATATAAATCTTAAAAAATGCCTGTCCTTTCAAGTTTTATTTTATTGAATCTCTTTGTTTTGTAACCTAATTTATTGTTTTAAATAAAGAAGTTTAATTATTTTAAGTATGAACTATTAGTGTGTTATATTACTGATAAAAATTAATTACAGAAGGGTTTTTCCCCTCTTTAGCAAATAAATAAAAGTAAATTGTCTTCATGTGGAGTCCACCTTGAGATTATTTTACCCACAATTAGTTTTTAAATCTGTCTGAAAGGGGCAGTGCATATTCAGTGACATAGATAAATTAGTCAAGCTAAGTTTGACTACTTTGAATGTGTACTGCCCCCTTTGGGCAGATTTACAAACTAATTGTGGGTAAAATAATCTCAAGTTAATAGAGTTGACATGAAGGGGAGAACAAATTATTTTTCTTGATTTGCTAAATTTATATCTAAAAAATTTCATTTGATTTTTTAAATAGTAGAAATATATTTATAGTCATCTTTATGCAATGCATTGCTCAAATTAAACATGAAATATAAATTCAACTTGAATTTTCTTTCTTTTCCTCTGAGAGAACATATATAAGCAAAATTTGAAAATGGGCCATATACCCGCTGATTGCCCTCTGTCTTGTCCTAAGAGGATTTACTGTGCTAGGAAAAAAACATTTGTTATTTAACATTATACTAAGTTCACTTTAGTAGATGTGTTTGTATTACCAGTGAAATTAAAACCTATGACTCTCAAAATTATATTTTATTCATTATGATTGGTGAAATTTTGCAATAGTCTGTGACTTTTATTGATGTTTGAAACTACAATACAAAGTCTGAAATTAAGAATGATCAATCTTCAATGTTTGGACCTCTGAGTCATAAGCCAAAAAAAATAAATAAATAAAATAATGAAAAAATATTCTGTCCATAAAATATGGGAAAGGAGGGGAAAACAGAAGCGAGTGTGCTATGTAAGTACAGTTTTTCTCCCTTCTAAATGAGATACCTACATGTCACTTTCAAACACATGTTGCCTATGGAATATCATTGTAGCCAATAACAATATGTTGATTGGTGTTTAATGTTGACCAGGATAACACTTATAAGTGGTTGCGGAGGGCAGGGCCAGCACTATACATTTTGCTGCCCAGTGCCTTTTCTAAATTTTAAGTTTTTACCATTCTTGAAGTTGTTGCTCATTGCTGCTCTTAATTAAAATTTTTGCTGCCTGTAAATCCCGCTACTTGGTGTGGTCACAGCAGCTCTGGAGCTGTTGGGGATTAGCATTCTTAAGCAAAGCCTGTGTATCTCTTGTTATATTGGGCTAATTGACAATATTCATCTTGCATTTTCTATGTCTCGAAAGTGCAACTTAGGACATGTATTAGATTTATATATAGCATTGTTCAAATATAGATATTTTGACACAAAATCGGACTTTTTCTGAAATGACATGCTCCCTTTTTTTTTTCTCCCCATAGTTCAATTCTGCGAATCAAATTGTGCCAAACTGCCAAGTTTTGTTAAAATCACACGAATAATTTTTAAAAAATTAACTCTCAAAATTTTAACTCCTCAATGTTAATTGAATCTGATATATATTTATTAATATCTCTTTTTTTAATTAAACTTATTTGATTCTTCTTTTCATATTTCAAAATGCTCACCAGTGGCCGAGCGGTAAAGACGCTGAACACTGGTAGTTCGGTCTGAGGTTCGAATCCCGCAAACAGGCTGGCTGCATGGGCGTTTTCGTGGTTTTCCCCATGTGTAACGTGTATATGAGCCAGTTTCCCTTAGAAAGTCCTCCACGAAAGGCATCCCTCCCCTTAGGCAGATAGCCCTAGTGTGCTTTGCCATAACTAAATACACCACCATATTTCAAAATGTAGGTTTTTTTCCAAATAATATTTGCCCATTTTTTAAATTTGCATTTTTAAATAATTTTTATAAATTTTTCAAAAAAATTTTGAATTATAACCTATAAAATATTTACCATCATCTTAAAGTAGATGTATTTCTAAGCATACCTGTCAAAAATTAGTTTTTATTCAAAATTTCCTGAGATATACATGAATTTACATTTTGGCATATTTATTATAAGCGATAATAACGAAAATGTGGTTTACGCACATTGTGTAAATTATTTGAAAGTATGAATGAAGACTTTTTTCCCTGCTTCGTGGACAATGTATAAAAGAAAAGCAAAATAAGTTGCTGTAAATTAAACTCTACATCTTCAACAGTCCAATGATATCTGTTCACCATATTCATCATCCAAGCAACCCAGGTCTAGAATTCAGGTGATTGCTAATCAAGCACCGAAACATTCAGTCAGATAAAGAAAATCATCGACTACCTCCACAGACAAGGACTCAATATGTGCCACCTTTAATCTTCAATCCTCTCATTCTGCAATAATTTCAGAGTGCCATTGTTATCTCCACCAAACACGCACTTCTAATGTGCCTTCAGTCGTCATTCATATCTGTGATGCACTGAACTGACATGAATTATCTGGACTTATGGTTCAATTACCAAGTGTATTATACTGACATCAATAACATCTGTATGACTGCATGTCACCGTGTTTAATTCTCAATAAATATGGAAAGGTAGTACACCGGGGCAATACCATTTTTGCTCATAGTAATGATAGGATGCCCCCTGTAGTTGTTCCTGTCCTGTAAATTAAGAAGTTTGCTAAGTGAATTAGTCTTGCCTCAAATTAGAAAACATGTGCAAAGATAAATTTTTCAATTTCTCCATAAATTTCTCACTAAAAATTACAAAATATAACATTTAGGCATAATTTGGGTCGTAGAACCAAAATATGGGGAAAAAAATTGGTATGTCATTTCAGAAAAATCTGATTTTTTGTCAAAATACCTATGTTAGAGCAATACTATATATAAATCTAATATACATCCAAAGTCACGCTTTAGACACATGGAAATCAGAATTTAAATTGCGTCAATCGGCCCATTAGAACAGGAGATGTAGAACTGTCCTCTTCTCCCCCCCCGCAATGTACATGTAATTTTATTAGATGTAAAATTTGGAATCATCAAAATTCCAAGGACTTTGTACTGTATATTTCGTTCATTCTGAATACTGAAAATTATGCAGAACAAATGTTTTATTTGAATGAATATGTTATATTTTTAAGGACTGTATTAATTTTTTTTAATATTTTCTGTTTAGGGGCGATCGATGTCTTTGAGTAATTTCTTTAGAATAGCAAGAAATACAATGAGCATGTGGTTTAAAAATGACCCATCCCCTGAAGAAGTCGAGGTATAGTTGAATCCACTTAAATTTATATATATTTATGTTGAAGGGATATATATCTGTGGACTTCTGTTACAGCAGAATTTTTTTTTTGTATTATTACAAATTATTACACATTTTTTTGTAATAATCATATGGCATTTCTTTTCATTAGCATTTCTGTCAGATACTTTATATGTAAGTGAATTATTGAGAAAGACGCAGTTACTTTGCACTTTCAGATAAAGTGAGAGTTTGCCAAAAAATTCAGATGAAACTGAATTTAAAATCCATAGTAAGCCAAGTCAGATGCTGCCAAAAACATAAATAGCTGATTGTCTAACTCGGCTAGATCTGTAAACAAGCTGAAGTTACGTGGCAAGTTCATCCAGCTATGTGAATAATTAATTGTCTGTCATGGCTACATTTTCACATTAGTTGAAGGTAAGTGCAAAGTTCATATCCATCCAAAGAACAGGAATTTGGATTTTTCTATCCTGCAAAGTGTGTGAAAGCTATCAACATAAGGGAAAATATGCTTCTATGCTGAACTCTTTAAAGTAAACTGGCTTGTATTCTTATTACAGTGGAAAACCACAAACATTCCCATGGATCCATTACACAAGGTAACCAAAAAATTCTTGCTGTTTCTGATACGACATTGGAAGAGCGAACCGCAACATAAAAATAGTTGCCAAACCTTGTAATGAAAGTAGTTAGGATGAGAGTTCGGACATTGACCAAGACTATAAAAGTGCGTTGCATCGGTACTTCAAACATAACTCACACAGCAACTGATTGAAATGGACGTGTCGTAGGTGCTCACTCGGAGTTGTTTGCTGTATGATTTTAAAGTGGGCCTGTCAGCAGCAGAATCAAGTCGCCAAATTTGCCAGGCCTTCTGGGATGATGTTGTTAATGAAGGAACCGCTAGGCAATGGTTCCAGAAGTTCAGGTCAGGAGAAATCTCTTAGTGATGCACCACATACAAGTGTTGGCCACAAGCGTTGGACGAAAAGGCCCTGAAAGCAGCCATGGAGAGTGACAGTAGCCAAATATGTGGTGAGCTTGCTGCACACTTGGAGGTATCTGATGAAACAATCAAATTCCATTTGCACCGCATAGGAAAGGCATATAAGCTGAGCAAGCCACTTGGCCATCAGTGGACTTGAAAAATACGGAAGAAAGCACAGTAGAATGAAAAGGCATGTTTGATGCTGTTTCTTTTTCTAAAATCTTCTGTTGTTAGGGTATGAGCATCGTTTAGCATCTTAATAATAGAATGGTGAGTTTTATTTGGTTCTCAGTTATGGTAATTATTTTCAAGTAATCGTGAAAGTAGATAGTATAGGATGACCAATTAAAAAGAACGATAAAGGGAAGGGGAAAAATCTGAAAGCTTTCAAATTTTATGTTACACCCAGAAGGTCATCTTTTTCATTTACACATACATACACATTTTAAGAGCATTTGGGATAAAAATATTTAAAAACAGCATATCTTTCGAATTTCTGATAGTCTTGTTCGGTGGAGATAAAAACTATTTTATTCCATACAGTGACAGTGTGTTGCCAGTGCTTGCTTTGAAATCATCGAGTTTCTTAATAAAAAATTTGTTAAAGTTTAAGAATATGAAAAAGATAATAAAACAAATTTGAAAATCAAGATTCAGTCTTCCAGGTGGAGAAACTATATTATTCAAAATATGATGACTCTAGGTGTCGTTTTTTTTTTTTTTTTTTTTCCCTGAATGCAAAAAACATGCATATATTCATGCAGATTCTTCATTATTTAATTTCTTTGAATATAATACAGGGTGGTAATATTTGGTGGCAACAGTATGAAAAATGATACAGTCGTTTAGAGACTAATAGCCCTTCTGGGCCAGGCTAATGGTCTTAAAAAGAAAAAAAAAAAAAGAAAAAGAATTTCTGTTTGAGAACTGGCTATGGTATTTACAGAAACATTTCCATTTTGACCTTGCAGAGTTGTAAATCTGTCTGTTCTCTTGACATGACTGGTGACAATCTTTACAATTGATCTGATCATAATGATATTGCAGACAGTAATACTGCAAATCAAGTTTTTCTTGCTTATTTCTATACTTCACTGCATTGACCTGCAATGACAAATGGTGAAATATAAGGTCTTCTGTAAAAATAATAATAATCTATATATATAAAAGGAAGAGTTGTCTTTCTTTCGCGCTGCACGTTAGCTAATAGACCCAGGGCTACAAAATTTGGTATGTAGGTGCATCTAGACAAGAGCCAGTGTACATTGAAGCATTTTTTTTTCCCCTAAAAATTTGACTGAGACTTCCCCCCCCTCCCCATGTTTTTTTATGTTTCAATAACTCATTTTGTTGAGTGGCAACAGTGGCAGTTTTTAAATTTAATGTTTCTCTTCAATACTGGACGTTTGTTGAGAGTAGGCCACAGGAAGTTGGTTAATTTATTTAGTAGGATAATTAATATTTGTATTAAGGGATATTGCTTATTTCATTGTAATTTTTTATATGTAATAATTTATATATATATATAAAGTTGTTCTGCGGAGTAAAATTCTGTGCAGTTTTTAAATCTAATGTTTGGTATTCCCGTTGGGCATTTTTCCTGTACATTTAAAAGCCTGCCTAATGCTGGTTGCATAACGGTTAGTAAATAATAAATTTAAAAAAAATATAAGTGCCTCAAGAGCTTCAAAGTGCTCATCCATAGCTTCAAACAACCATTTTTAAGAGCAAAATATCTTATTTGCAGACAAATATTACTTATGTCAGTTATTGCTGTGTTGCACCACAGATAAATCTAATATAAAAGGAGAAGAAGGCAGTGTTTAAGTTCTGTTTGAAGAAGTGGCCATGTCCCCCCCCCAAAAAAAAAGCTGTGATTGAATTAAGCTGCAGTAAACCCTTGCCCAGCATAGTTTTGTTAACTGAATTATTTCCATTTAATGTGTCCGGTACTAGAATATCCTTTATATGTGGTTCAGCATTTGTTCTTTGACACTGAATCCTCATTGGCATAAGCTGTTCCAAAAATTTACCAACAAATTTTAAGAATATGCGTAGATTCAAAATGAAGCTAAAGAAATTGTACAGTTTCCAAAAGCAATATCAGAGAAGGATTTTTTGGTATGGAAAAAGTAAAAATAAAAGAATTAACAAAAAAATGGATGATCTTATTTATAATAGCATTCGGCAGTGAAAGCAGTCATAACGAAGAAGAGGATCAAATGTCTTTATTTTACAGGAAGTTAAACGAATTGTTAAAAAAGGCAACATAACTGTCAGATTTTGCAATGACGATTAACCTAGTTGAAAAATGAAGATGACACTTTATAATTGGCATTAAAAAACTGCATCCATTAATGCGCAATTAGTTAAATATCAATAAGAGTGGAAATTAGTTAAATATCAATAAGAGTGGAAAAATAAATTGTATTTATTATTAGGTTCCAAACGAATACAATAAATATGCCTTATTATTATTTATTTTCTCTATTTTGAACTGAAATTTCATCATTAAATCTTGTAATATAGTTTAGTTCTTCATAGTTTTTTTTTCTCTCATTGTAAACTAGTTCTGTAAATTGACATTATTTAAAATATAAAAAAAAAGTAATTATTTTCATGGTTGAGGTAATGCTTATTCTCTCTTAATAAGTACTTCATTCTCATATTTTAAATTACAATTCTAATTTTTAAGATTATGCAGTTGTGTATGATGTAATTAGACAGGTGCTTATTTTTTTGCTTAAAATGTGCTTGAAAAGTGCTTATAGGTGCTTATTTTTTTAACTAAAATGGGGCTATGAACCCTGTCTAAGAGAATCCATTAATAACCGTAAAACCTTTAGAAAAACTTTTTTTGTTTTCTCTGAAGCTACATATTAAGTCTTTTTCTCCTTTTTTGATAGTAAATCGGTCTTTTTCTATTGTAATCAGATAAGTATATCCAAGCCTCATCAATAATTGTAACTACATATTTCCATTTTTCACCTGCCAAATTTTCGTACAGCAATCTGCACGTAGTCTTATGCCAAGAAACATGTTTCGACATGGTGAACATCACGTTGTTTTGTTTTGATTAGCTTTAAATCTGAATTTATAATTTTCTTCACACTTCCAACAGAGATATTTAAAGATTTTGCAAGTGCTCTTTGGAAGGGGCTGAATTTTCCTTTAAAACATGAGATGTGGCTTGAGATTTAATAAGTGCTGTTCGTACCTCTGTTTGGTATTCATTTTTTGCCTTTTCCCCAGTCATATGTAAACTTTGATGTTTCTTTCCTTTCGTATTAATTATGTCACTTATTTTACATGTGGAAATATTAAAACCATGCTTTTTACATCTTTTTTTAATAATTGAATAAGAGTATTTCTCGTCGGACATGCACAAAAATGTAGCCTTCGATCCATTGTTTATTTTTCAGTGATTAAAGAAAAGAATGTTTTTAATGCTGCAGACGCTAATTAAACCTTATTCCAATTGGATGCCAGTCACGACTGTATATTTAAATTCATGGAGAAAATTAAAATCGTTACAAAAATGTGTAAACATCCTCTAAAGATGATTCACTGAGTTATCTTTCCATCCATTTGATTATTTTCTTATGTATTTAATATCAACTTATTTTTATTGTAATAATTTTAAAATTCTTTATACAGCATGAATTTTGGAAAGTAGTCACAGAAAGGCAACACCATGTTGTCGTACATGCCGGAAATATCGATAGCAGCGTGTATCAAAGTGGATTTCCCTGCAATCGGAATAGCCCATTTGCAAAGTATGTAATCTGTTTTGATGATCAAATAACTTTTTAAAGATAAAGTAACTTTGTTTTATATAAGGATTATCCGTGTATTTAATCATAAATTATTTCTCTTCTTTTACTAGACATCCGTGGAATTTAAAAGTATTAACCAATAACAGCAACTCTATATTAAAATGTATGGGTCCTGTCTCAGGTACGAATGATTTAATGTATTATCTTCCAAGTCTTTTTTTTAACAATATTTAATTTTTACATGCATCATTCCTAATATAATTTTAGGTATTACAATACCCACTTTACATGTTGGCATGTTATTTACTACTGGTTGTTGGTATAGGGATCCCCATTCCTTACCATGGATTGAATACTTGCATACTGGAGCTAGCAAAATTTGGTAATATTTTTTTTTTTTTTCATTCTTTGGTGTAAGAGTCATATAGCCTTATTTAGCATACAGATGTTTTGACGTCAGCAGAAGTAATTTGACATAATTTGGGTAGTAATTATAGCAATAAAACTGTGGCATTTATGAATATTGCATTATTTATTAGGTGTCTGTTGCAAAATCCAAGCTTTCTTTTATTGAGTTTTATTGATTACATTATAACTAATTGTGAAGGCCTTAACCATGTTTGTTGACACTATTTAACCCACAATTTTAGCCCAGAAGGGCTATTAATTTCAAAACGGCATTTTGCATCAATTCACTTTTCAAACTGTTGCCACCAAATATTATTGCCATGTATTATATTTAAAGAAACTAAATAATGAAGAATCTGCATGAATGTTTCTCGCATTGGGATAAAAAACGATGGTACCTAGAGCCATCCAATTTTGAATAACGTAGTCTTCGAATCAAACATGGGCATATGGAAGCCCGAATTTCGAGTTCCTTTTATTATCTATTTCAAATTCTGTAAAATGAATTTTTGATTAAAAAGCTCAACGATTTCAAAGCAGGCAATGGCAACACTGTACGTGGTGGTGGGGGAAGAATTTCTGGAAGACACTTAGGGGTGTATCAGTTAGCCGTGACTGTCTTCTGTCCTTTTCCTTACATTTTAATTTTTATGTGTAAAACTGTGATGATGGTTTTAAATTAAGAATTTAGAAAATAAATTTTATATTAAAAAGCAAAAATGTGGCAAAAGAGGCCAAACATTTAACCTTCTGTATGTCAAACTCAGCCATCACGAAATGCTTAATGGAAAGGCCAGTTTAAGTGACAGTAAAATAGCAAAAATATTCTTTTTGTTTAAAATAATAAAAAAAAAAGATTTAAGCAGGGCAGCCGCCGAAAAAAAGATGGAAATAGAGAAGCGGGCCGGTATTGGTTTAATCCTAGTATTCGGTGCACACGGGATTTGGCTACTTTTGGCGACTTTATGATGAGCAGTGAAAACGGGACATATACGATGAGTAGTTAACGGGTCATTCAAAAAAAATATATAGTTAAACATAGTATATACTATGTATATAGTATATATACTATGTGTGTATAATATATATATATACGTTCTTTGGATCATTTTTGGTGTTGGCAATAATTTGAAAGTCGCGCCAAGGCTGCACTGTATACTAGGATTTTACCCCGTTATTTTGAAGTGGACGAGAAAGGGATGAGAAATTGGCACAAACTAAGGATGTGTTTAAAAAGCATGAGAATATTGCCGTATTAAAAAAACGTAATTTCGGACGTATAATCCGCGGACTATCTGATGGTTTTTGAAATTTTTTTTATATAAAATCGTGTCTGCGGACTATACGTGGAAATTATGGAATTATGAAAGATGCTTAGGGCATTAAAATTTTATCAAAAGATAGGTAGATAATTTATTTAAATATGGCAAAGCACATGAAGGTTACCTCCTTAGGGGAAGGGATGCCTCTCTAAAGCATTGTTGAGGGCAAACTGGCTCATATTTATACTACACATAGGTAAAACCATGAAAACCAACCAGTAAACAATTAAAATCGTAAAAAACAACCTTATATTTAGCGTAGGTACAATGAAACACTCAATTATATATTGGCCAAACAAAAGGAGCGTTGAAGTTTCGTATCAAGGAACATGAATCTTATGTCAAAAAAGGGGAAATTAACAAGTCTTCAATAGCGTATCATAGCTGGACTTTTAACCATAATTTTGATTTTGGGTCTGCAAAAATCATCCAAAAGGCTTCTTCCATAGGCGAATTGGATTTTCTTGAGGCTTTTCACATTCACAAAGATTTAGAAAGTTTAGTTAATGATTTGAAGTCCAATCCAGTCCTTCCTAATGCCTTTAAAATTCTGCTGTCTTAATTCAATTATTTTCGCCGATAGATGGCGTTACCTCCTCGCACTTCGTACTACCAGAGGGTATAAAAATCCGTTCAGTGGTTGCTTTCCATTATTTGAAGTTCAGATTTTGAGCGTAATGTGCATTTGCCCCTCGCTCCTATTTTAACTTCACTAATTTTCTTTATGCTTGATCAGACAGCCTGGCTCAGTAAAAGTAGGCGGCCAGTGCAACTCTGATTAAAAATCTAGTTATAACCACGTGCAGTGCTGATAAGCACCACGTGTTTCTGTGATTCCTATTTTCTTCTTTCTACGTATTTCTTTCTCCTGATGAGGAGGGACCTTTAGCTGCCCTCGAAATCGATTGAGTGTTTCATTATACCTACGCTAAATATAAGGTTGTTTTTTACAATTTTGATTGTCACATTAGCGTGTTTCTCTTCTAGTCCAGTAAACAATTGTTAATATATTTTTTATTAAATTCTGTATAAATTTTGAACGAATTCAAAAATCAGTTATTGTGAAGCGTTGCATAATTGTGAACAGTCATAGAGGGATTTAATTTATGTTTTTTTAAATAGGTATGGAGTTCCTGCTAATGGATGTGAAAAATTTAGAAATGGAATGAAAAAAATAATGCCTGAATATTGTACAAATAACCCAATATGGTTGCCGTCTGATACTGCTATGGTAACAAAAAATGACTTATTCTATTCCTATTTTAATTTTTTCTTTATTGGCAATCAGTAAGTGTTTATATAAATTATTTTGTAATAATTTTATAAAAATGAAATATTATAAAGGCATTAATATATTTAATATGTTTAGTTAAACTTGTAGTGTTTATTAAAGAAGAAAACTATATTCATTCAAGATTTTATGTAGAAAGTAGGCGCATATGTATACCACGAAAAAAAATGGGACAGTTCTATATCTCCCATTCTACTGGGCTGATTGACTGAATTCAACTTGCATTTTTCATGTGTCGAAGCGCAACTTAGGATATGTATTAAATTTATATATAGTATTGCTCTAATATAGGTATTTTGACACAAAACTACCAAGTATTGTAAAAATTGCACGAGTAATTTTTAAAAAATTAGCTCTCAAAATTTTAGCTCCTCAGTGTTAATTGAATTTCATATATTTATATATCTCTTTTTTCATTAAACTTAATTAATTGGCTTTCATTAGCTATTTGATTTCTTCTTTTGGAATTTGAAATTTAGGCTTAATCCAAATATAATTCGTATATAATTCGTACATTTTTTATGGTTTATTTTTAAAATTTGTATTTTTTTAATATTTTTTGTAAATTTATCGAAAACAAATTTTGTGTGATAACCTATAAAATTTTCAACATCATCTTGAAGTAGATGTATTTTTAGGCACACCTGCAAAAAATTAGAGTTTTTTTATTCGAAATTTTCTAAGATATGCATGAAATTACTTATTGGAGCATTTTGAAATTTGGCTTATATATATATATATATATATATATATATATAGCAATAATAACACCAAACAATAATATGCACTTTGTTAAAATTTAATTATTTGAAAGTATGAACTATGACTTTTTTCCCACTCATTTACAATGAAAATAAGAAAAGGAAAATAGGTTGCTAGAAATTAAGAAGTTTGTCAAGTAAATTATTCTTGTCAAAAACAGAAAAAATACATCAATATAAATTTTTGAATTTCTCCATAAATTTTGCACCAAATTTTACAAAATTTAATATTTAGGCATAATTTGAGTCGTAGAATCGAAATATGGAAAAATATTGGCATGTCATTTCAGAAAAAGTTCGATTTGGTGTCAAAATACCTGTGTTAGAATGATGCTATGTATAAATCTAATATATATCCTAAGTCATGTTTTCAAGGCATTAAAAATGCAATTTGAATTCTGTCAGTAGGCCCAGTAGAACGCGAGATATAGAACTGCCCCCCCCTTTTTTTGCGCAGTGTACGTAATGTCTAGAAGAGTTCACAAGCATCATGGATATTTCCGTTTTAAAAAATAAAGTAAAATTATCACTAAATTTATTTAGTTTGTTCTAAATTTCTTTTTGAGTATTAAAGCTAGAACTTGTTTTTACTGAGTTTTACTGTGTATATATGTTAGCAATTAAAATGTGTTAAAATTTCATTAATATAATGTCCGTCTTTTTTTCTTTCTCTCTCTCTCTCTCTCTCTCTTTTTTTTTTTTTTTTTATGCCTTAAAAGAAAAAACTTTTCCCTGAAAAGTTGTAGTTATCAGGTAACCGGATGAAGCATCGTAACAAGATAAAAAAGTATTGTGCATAAGTGATCCGCATGTTGTTGCTATGCATTACATGGTTTTTACTTCCTTGTACAAAGTAAAGGAAGTATTGTGATATTGAAAAATTTTGGGTATCGTATTTCAATGAAAATATCCATTTTGACTACTGTCCATTCCATTTGAACAATGTTTTTGTGTTACATCTGTACGTACGGACAGAATAAAGAACTTTTTTTCCCCCGAAACGGATTGTGAAGTAGATTTAAAATGGATTCAAAAGAGATTTTTTTGTGACATCTTTATGTATGTATGTATGTATCTTGCATAACTGAAAAAACGAGTTGCCTCAGAATGTTACAATTTTGTGTAAAGGACTGCTGTAACATGTAGTTTTGCATCTCCTTTTTTGGTTGCAATCGGCTGCACCAAAAGTACATAAAATATATATGAACCCACTATGTTACTCAGCTCAGCGAGATCAGTTTTTTTTTTATTCTTATATGTTGGTATATTATGCATTTTTTGCTTTAAAAATGATTGAATTATGTTGTCTTCCGGTTAAGGTTTTTATGCATTAGTTAACCTGCATGCAAGAGTTGTAGAATTATCAACAATTTTAAATTCAAGTTTCGCTAAGCCTAATGATGCTGCCATTTGTTTACATTTCAAACTTAGTTGCATAGTGAATTCAGTTTCTGCAACAATTTCAGTGTCTTTTTGCGGAGTGGGACCAAAAGATTTGTGCACTGAAAAATCATTCTTTCTGCCTAATTTTAATTCATTTAAATGCTAATTTTAATTGTAAAAATTGTTTTTTAACTCTAGTTAGTGTTTTAGGTTTTTCTCTTTTTTACAATATTTTAATGAAGTGTTTTGAGTTTTCACGTATTTTTTCCTTGCCACGAAGAGAGAACTGAATTGATTGAATAAAGAAATTTGAGGAAGTATGTTTAAATGAAATGCAGCAAAAATTTGCATATTTTAATAGGGCATATAAGGAAGTCATGTAGGTCCACATCAGATTTTTTATAAAAAGTGCATTAATCTCCATGTGTTAGTTTATCATAAACCAAATTTGTCTTCTACCATCTGGGTTTACCATTTTGTACAGCCTGTTTTAAATATGTTATTTATATTCCATATTTTTGAAATCCTGGATTGATTCTTAAACAAGCAGGCTGATCATAACTATTTTTTATTATTAAGACCGTTTTAGATATTAAACAGCCTATAAGGTTGACTAAGTTTTTAAACCTTTTTTTTAAATAGTTTTTTACACATTTTTTTAGCTTTTTCAAACTTTAATGGTAGTGTGATTACAGTGCCATTAAATAGAAATTTTTATTAAATCGTCTGGTTTAAAATCATTGCTCATTGATTTGTTCGCTTGAAATTTACACGCATTATAACTTTTAATCTTTATTCTGACAGGTTCCGCCAGATTTGTTGGTCAAACATGGAGCATCACTAAGTCGTACCATTCAGAACAGTGGGCAGTTTGTTGTAATTTTTCCAGAATCTTTTACGTCAACAATATGTTGTGGCTACTGTGTGTCAGAATCTGTATACTTTGCACCTACACCATGGTTAGATTTGGCTATGAAAGCATTTCAGGTAAATGACCAATGTTAATGAGTGTAATTATGTCAAATTATTTGAAGGAGGGAGGAAATGTATTTTTTCTTTTTATAATGTATTATTAGAAATAAATAGTATCATACTTTTTAAATAATTGTTTAAAGTTATTGGTTTATTTGATTGCGGCAACGCTTCAAGGGCTATCTGCCTGGGGGGATGTCTTCGTGGAGGACTTTCTAAGGGAAACTGGCTTGTATACATGTTACACATGGGTAAAACCATTAAAATGCCTTTGCAGTCAGCCTGTTTGCAGGATTCGAACCTTGAACTGAACTACCAGTGTTCAGCGACTTTACTGCTTCGCTGCTGGTGGGCTTTAAAATTATTACTTGATGTTGAACAGTAATGGATTTTCTGTAAAATTCATTATGTCTTCAGTAAATAATTTCATTGAAAGATATCAAGAAACCTTTGACTCAAACTATAGTGAATGTTGACAAGTGTAATGATGTCCAGCAAGAAAAAAATGCCGAATGGTATATTTTTCAAAGTTTTGTCGGTAGATTTCATTTTTAAAACTTTCTTTTAGAGAGAAGGTCAAAGTGTAGAATATGAAGGAACCAAGCCCTGTCTTTGCCTTTAAGTTTTATCTTTATTTTATCCAAATTACATACCTGCCAACTTTTACTAATTTTTCGTAATTTTTACGAAAATGCGTTTGTCTTTACGATTTTACGATCGTAATCCATTTTTTACGATTTTTTTCTCTTTTTCAAGTGTTTTTAGTGATTTTTGTCGAAATTTAGAATTTTTCACAAATTCAGCGATTTTCGCCAATTGCATCGTGTTTTACCGACTACTTCGAATCCAGTAACCTGCAGTTTCTCCTATTCTCCCAACTCGCCGCTTAACCAGCCAATCCAATGTGCTGAACTTGTTTCTCACACTCTTTTCTTTGTGGGCGCGCCAGATTATTTTTTTCGCGTTTCGCTTCAGCAGCAAGGGAATTACTCAGCGAAGCTCATTGTCGCATTCTGTTTTATTTATTTATTTCATTTTTTGTTGTTGCGAGTTTGTTTGGATTGTCGCATTCTGTTTGCTACGAATTTTCTTTAATACGTCGTTGTTACGAAATGAGTTCAAAAAAACCTTATTCTCAAGAATTTTCAAAAGCCTGCCTACAAAGTTCTTCGAATTTCAACAATTAAAGAATTCCTTCAAAGGAAATAACTATGCATTTTGCAAAGTGTGCGTGTGTGACTTCATAATGAGTCACGGTGGAAGAAGTGCGACATTGTGAAGCATGTTAAGTCTAAGTCTAAAAAGCACAAAGTCTAATGCTTCTAAGCTTCGACAACGTCAAAGGAAAGTGGATGATTTTTTTTTCAAATTCGGTTAAATTCGGATGCCAATGTCATTTTGGCAGAGTGTTTGTTTACTGCATTCCTCATCAAACACAACGTGCCGCTAAGCGCTGCCGATCACGCCGGTCAACTTTTCAGACGGATGTTTCCAGACTCCAAGATTGCTCAGAAATATGCTTGTGCTAGCACGAATACATCTTCTATTGTGAACAAAATTGCTTGTGATGCACAAAGTAAAACAATAGCTGCACTCCAGAATTCAGCATTTTCGGTGTCAATCGATGGGAGCAACGACAGCGATTGGAAGCTTTACCCCATCGTTGTCACATATTTCTGTGATGTTTCTAATGAAATGAAAACTCATCTTTTGCGTCTTCCATTGTTGAATGGAGACGCTACGGGGGAAAATATTGCCTCCTTGGTAATTAATGAGTTGAAACAACTTAACATCCCAATATCAAACTGCATTTCATTTGGTGCAGATAATCCTCATGTCATGGTGGGTGACAAAAAGGGTGTAGCCTCTTTCCTCAAAAAAGAACAAAATGAATTAATTGTTATTGGATGCCAATGCCACTTAATTAATTTGGCAGCAGAAAAAGGTGCAGCTGCTTTACCATTAAATATTGACCAGCTTCTGATTGATGTGTTTTTCTATCTGGAAAAAAGTGTAAAAAGGAAAACCTAAAGAATTTCCAAGAACTGTGCTTGGGGAAAGAGAAAAATTCTGAAACATGTATGGCACGAGATGGTTATCCTTAGGCAGAGCGCTAGGAAGGTTATTGAACAGTGGGATGCATTGCTAAAATATTTCCACGAAGAGACCAAAAACGAAAACCACAGATCCCATCAAATTTGTCGGCATATAAGATTCCGAAAACCAACTTTGCTCTAATCAAAATGCTTTAAAAGGGAAAAGCCAACACACGAATCCAAACCCTTTAAAAAGAAAATGCTTAGAAGACTCCTCAAAGGTCAACTTTGTTAAAGAAGTTGAAGGGAAGAAGAAACAGTCTTCTATTAGCTGGGAGGAAAGGATTTTCTATCTTCTTTTTTCGGATTTGAACAAAGCATATTGTAGTTTTGTGTTAAGTACCATTAAGATTTTTGAAAGTGTAAATACCCTTCTACAATCAGCTTCGCCAAAATCTCCCCTGCTTATCCAAATTCTTAATGATCTTTTGAAAAGAACTTTATACTAAGTTTGTAAACCGTCCGTTGTGAAAAACAGTGTGTTGATTCGTGTTGCCTATAATAGTTTGGCAAATCAAAAGGATGACAATGATCTTATAATTGGAAATCAAACAGGGAACTTGTAAATTCTTTGAAAGATCATGAGAAAAAAGAATTTTTCAATGTGTGTTAGAAAGTACTTTTCCTCAGCCTGTGATTACATTGTAAAGAAATTTCCTTTGCAAAATGAAGTTCTTTTAAATGCTGAAGTGGCAAATTTGAAACAAATTGAAAATTCATCTTTTAAAACGATTCGTTTTTTATTGATAAATTTCCATTTTTGTTAACAATTAAAGAAAATGAATGCCATAATGATGCTTTAGATGAACTACAGAACCAATTTTCTGCTGCACAGTTTGAAGACTTTGCCAGTTCTGGAGAAGATAGACTTGATGTCCTTGTTGGTACCTTAAAAAGAATAAAAAGAGCTGATGGAACACCAAAATATGATAGACTAGCGAGAGTTTTATGTGCTATTCTCGTTATTCCACACAGTAATGCTGAGTGCGAGAGAGTCTTCAGTGTTGTGAAGAAAAACAAAACTATGTTTCGTTCTTCAATTTCACCAAAAACTCTAGAAAACATTTTAATTGCTAAATGTTATGAGGAAATTAATTGTTATGACAGGAAATTTTCCAAAGAATTTTTGGCTAAAGCCAAAAAATGCACTCTAAATTCATTGCAATTTTTTGTAACATTAAGTTCTTGTTTTATGTTTCCTAATAAATTTTTTAGTTACTACTTAATTGAGATTTACTAATGTAAGTACAATTTTCTTTTTTCTATTTGTATAAATTATTATTTTTTTAATATCAAAGCATGATATTAATTCTTCGTGTTCTTCTGAATTTTGGAGAAATCTTATGAATTTTTATCTTTAGAGGTTGGCAGGTATGAAATTATATTTATTTCATTAATAACAATGAAGAAGTAATAACATTGCTGCAGTGATACAGAGTATATCTAATGGTATTGAAGCATTCTAAATTGATGCATACTACATAACAATGGAAGCACACTGCATTTTGGAGAGCTTAATATTTAGTATCTGTTAAGCAAGCTAATACTATTTTGGGAATTTTTTATAGACCCCCCCTCCAAAAAAATGTGCATCAGATCTGAATTTTAAGCTTGTGCTTAGCTTTCTTGGACCTGCTTATACTCAACTGTAGTACAAGCTGTACTGCAGGTATTGGTTGTCTTAATTGAGCCTTTTTCATCAAAACAGTATTCGTTCGCTGTGAGAATTATCCATCTATTTTCAACAAATAGTTAATTTTAAGTTTACTTTCCTATTATTCTTTTTTCATCCATGCGTTTTATGTCGGAATGTAAATGAGATAACGAGAATTTATTCAGATTATAGTAAAAAGAAGTGCTATTTAAGCAAGAGTTTCGGAAGTTAATTTAAGAGTGTGTCTGCGTATTCCAGGCAACATTGTGCTGTGATTATTAGCGACTTGCATTATCGGCATTGAGCTTGAGCCATTGGCTTTGTATTTCCGGTTTACTACAAACCATAGCCTTTCCTGCTCATTTAAATATTATCTGGGCCATTAGTCTAATCTACCACATCTTGAAATTATTATCTGGGCCATTAGTCTAATCTACCACATCTTGAAATTATTATTTGTTACGTATTGCTGTTAAACCCGAAGTGCTGGACTTATTGTAACCCAAGTTGGGTCATTGTGAATTTTATGTTTGAGTAAACCCTTCTGATTTATCAGGGTTCGTACAGTCCTTAAGTGTCCTCAAAAGTCCTTAAATTTTTTGGAATTGATTTTTGGTCTTTAAAAGTCCTTAATTTTGGCCAAAATCAGCAGAAGGTCATTAATTTTAATCATCTCAAATTTCTGTCTGTTTTTACGACTGTCATTTTGAGTGTGAATTAGCATTTTGAAGGAATATTTTTGCCGATTCACTGACATATATATTGTAATATTGGTTATCTTTTAAATGGGTTCATGACTTAAAATTTGTTTCTATTTCTAATATAAATAATGGGATACTTGAGTTGCTAAGGCAAGAAGTGAAACATGAGCATTTCAAAATTATTTCATTTTTTGTAATAAAGAGGCTCTTCAAACAACTTTCCGCTTTTGGGAATGTGAATTCTTTTACTAAAGGGTTCTAAATTTGGTGACGTTTCAACATTTTGGCGATTTTGAGATCAGTCTCTATAGAAACTTTTATAATTCCGAGATCTGAGAATTTCAGCCTTTCAGTTTATGATTCAGTCGGGGGTTTGGGACTATTTAACTTTTACCAGATCAAGTAAACCCTCATAGGTACCTTGTTAGTACCTCATAGTTAGGAGATAAACACGTAGAAACTAGCGAGAGCATTGGTTTGCATATTGAGACAACTCTCTAATTGTTAGAAAAGATGCTTAAAGAGAAGGAAATCTATATAAACTAGCCAAAATGTTTGGAAAGG